TTACTATGCACATTATTCACTTTAGATTACTATACACATTATTCACATTACATTACTATGCACATTATTCACTTTAGATTACTATGCACATTATTCACTTTAGATTACTATGCACATTATTCACATTACATTACTATGCACATTATTCACATTACATTACTATGCACATTATTCACATTACTATGCACATTATTCACATTACATTACTATGCACATTATTCACTTTACATTACTATGCACATTATTCACTTTAGATTACTATGCACATTATTCACATTACATTACTATGCACATTATTCACATTACATTACTATGCACAGTATTCACTTTACATTACTATGCACATTATTCACATTACATTACTATGCACATTATTCACATTACATTACTATGCACATTATTCACATTAGATTACTATACACATTATTCACATTACATTACTATGCACATTATTCACATTACATTACTATGCACATTATTCACTTCAGATTACTATGCACATTATTCACATTACATTACTATGCACATTATTCACATTACATTACTATGCACATTATTCACTTTAGATTACTATGCACATTATTCACATTACATTACTATACACATTATTCACATTACATTACTATGCACATTATTCACATTACATTACTATGCACATTATTCACATTACATTACTATGCACATTATTCACTTTACATTACTATGCACATTATTCACTTTACATTACTATGCACATTATTCACATTACATTACTATGCACATTATTCACTTTAGATTACTATGCACATTATTCACTTTAGATTACTATGCACATTATTCACATTACATTACTATGCACATTATTCACATTACATTACTATGCACATTATTCACTTTACATTACTATGCACATTATTCACATTACATTACTATGCACATTATTCACTTTAGATTACTATGCACATTATTCACTTTAGATTACTATGCACATTATTCACTTTAGATTACTATGCACATTATTCACATTACATTACTATGCACATTATTCACATTACATTACTATGCACATTATTCACATTACATTACTATGCACATTATTCACTTTAGATTACTATACACATTATTCACATTACATTACTATGCACATTATTCACATTACATTACTATGCACATTATTCACTTTAGATTACTATACACATTATTCACATTACATTACTATGCACATTATTCACTTTAGATTACTATGCACATTATTCACTTTAGATTACTATGCACATTATTCACATTACATTACTATGCACATTATTCACATTACATTACTATGCACATTATTCACATTACTATGCACATTATTCACATTACATTACTATGCACATTATTCACTTTACATTACTATGCACATTATTCACTTTAGATTACTATGCACATTATTCACATTACATTACTATGCACATTATTCACATTACATTACTATGCACAGTATTCACTTTACATTACTATGCACATTATTCACATTACATTACTATGCACATTATTCACATTACATTACTATGCACATTATTCACATTTCATTACTATGCACATTATTCACATTACTATGCACATTATTCACATTACATTACTATGCACATTATTCACTTTACATTACTATGCACATTATTCACTTTAGATTACTATGCACATTATTCACATTACATTACTATGCACATTATTCACTTTACATTACTATGCACATTATTCACATTACATTACTATGCACATTATTCACTTTACATTACTATGCACATTATTCACATTACATTACTATGCACATTATTCACTTTAGATTACTATGCACATTATTCACTTTAGATTACTATGCACATTATTCACATTACATTACTATGCACATTATTCACATTACATTACTATGCACATTATTCACATTACTATGCACATTATTCACATTACATTACTATGCACATTATTCACTTTACATTACTATGCACATTATTCACTTTAGATTACTATGCACATTATTCACATTACATTACTATGCACATTATTCACATTACATTACTATGCACATTATTCACTTTACATTACTATGCACATTATTCACATTACATTACTATGCACATTATTCACTTTACATTACTATGCACATTATTCACATTACATTACTATGCACATTATTCACATTACATTACTATGCACATTATTCACTTTACATTACTATGCACATTATTCACATTACATTACTATGCACATTATTCACTTTAGATTACTATGCACATTATTCACTTTAGATTACTATGCACATTATTCACATTACATTACTATGCACATTATTCACATTACATTACTATGCACATTATTCACATTACTATGCACATTATTCACATTACATTACTATGCACATTATTCACTTTACATTACTATGCACATTATTCACTTTAGATTACTATGCACATTATTCACATTACATTACTATGCACATTATTCACATTACATTACTATGCACATTATTCACATTACATTACTATGCACATTATTTACTTTAGATTACTATGCACATTATTCACATTACATTACTATGCACATTATTCACTTTAGATTACTATGCACATTATTCACATTACATTACTATGCACATTATTCACATTACATTACTATGCACATTATTCACTTTACATTACTATGCACATTATTCACATTACATTACTATGCACATTATTCACTTTAGATTACTATGCACATTATTCACTTTAGATTACTATGCACATTATTCACATTACATTACTATGCACATTATTCACATTACATTACTATGCACATTATTCACATTACTATGCACATTATTCACATTACATTACTATGCACATTATTCACATTACATTACTATGCACATTATTCACTTTACATTACTATGCACATTATTCACATTACATTACTATGCACATTATTCATATTACATTACTATGCACATTATTCACTTTAGATTACTATGCACATTATTCACTTTAGATTACTATGCACATTATTCACATTACATTACTATGCACATTATTCACTTTACATTACTATGCACATTATTCACATTACATTACTATGCACATTATTCACATTACATTACTATGCACATTATTCACTTTACATTACTATGCACATTATTCACATTACATTACTATGCACATTATTCACATTACATTACTATGCACATTATTCACATTACATTACTATGCACATTATTCACATTACATTACTATGCACATTATTCACATTACATTACTATGCACATTATTCACATTACATTACTATGCACATTATTCACTTTAGATTACTATGCACATTATTCACATTATATTACTATGCACATTATTCACTTTACATTACTATGCACATTATTCACATTACATTACTATGCACATTATTCACATTACATTACTATGCACATTATTCACTTTACATTACTATGCACATTATTCACATTACATTACTATGCACATTATTCACTTTAGATTACTATGCACATTATTCACATTACATTACTATGCACATTATTCACTTTAGATTACTATGCACATTATTCACATTACATTACTATGCACATTATTCACATTACATTACTATGCACATTATTCACATTACATTACTATGCACATTATTCACATTACATTACTATGCACATTATTCACATTACATTACTATGCACATTATTCACTTTAGATTACTATGCACATTATTCACATTACATTACTATGCACATTATTCACATTACATTACTATGCACATTATTCACATTACATTACTATGCACATTATTCACTTTAGATTACTATGCACATTATTCACATTACTATGCACATTATTCACATTACATTACTATGCTATATTCTTTTTTTTATAAGATAAGGGTAACAAGCGAGCATACAGTTCACCTGATGGTAAGTGGTTTTGCTGTGGTCCATAGACATCTACATCTATCCTCGATTACGATTCAAAATGCAGATGCTTTGTCACCAGTGAGGACTAAGATGGAATGCCTCGTTTCCAGTAAAAAGGGTCTCCGGTTCTCTACACTCACCATAAGAAACTATTCTACACTGTGTATTTTATTTTGTGAGAGCGTGGTCCTTCCTCGGTCGAACGGACCCATTCGTGCTGCAACTATACCAGTAATATAGCATTAAATTAATAAATATGTATATTACATTACCATATTATATACTATATACAACGGGTTATGTTAAACTTATAGCGACTGAAATCTTTTAATGCACCATCTACGTCGCATGACTGCAGGGTTGCGGAGGATACCTCAACCATACCAACTGCCAAAACTCCTCTTCCCACAAATCCACCTACGCTGCAACGGTAGAGGAGAATATGAAAAGAGATCCTTTCAGGTGGACTTAGTGAGCCCTCTTGGGACGGACAGCTCCGACCAGCCACATGGGTTTTCTTTCACTACGGATAACAGGCCACGGTCAATAAGTTACCCCATCACGGCAAGGCGCGAACCCGTTTGTGAAGTAGGAACTTGGACCTCTAAGTCAAACAAAAAGTATAGAATTAATAAATCCGACAAGAATTAATAAGCTATGAAATGTGAATTAAAATAAGGTTTGATAGGACCAGACATTTGGATTTGAAATATTATGATTGGATAGTGAAACAAAACATCATGATGGAACCTGCAACCTATAGGTATAGGAAAGTCGTGGGTTCGAATCTGCCATGTTTTTTTTAAGGACTGACAGTGACAATCCAGTACACAGCCTACCTCATAGTAAGTGGATGCTGTGGCCCTCAGAGAGAGAGAGAGAGAGAGAGAGAGAGAGAGAATCACTGTGATTAAAAATTCTCTCATTGGAAGAATATTTGCTACAGTTTACACGCTTCGTAACCGCGCTTGTAACTGCAATTTTTTATTATTATTTTTGAGTTGATAAGGAAGATGCTGCGGACTTAACTAATTTACCACAATATACCTCCCCCCACCCACTGATATACAATCACCGCCATAATTAAATGTTTCAGGACACTCCGCTCATGAGGCTGTGGTTCAAACGGGACAACGAGTTCATGCTGCCGAAGGCTTTTATCACCTTCGATTTGGTCAGGTATGCTCTTCTGTACATAATAGACTTACCCTCATAATCAACTCAACAATCAACGCTCCGTCCCTCTCGTGCTCAAATCCAAAGTCCCGAAATCTTTCAGCTCGAGCTACAAAACCGTTTTCAGTGCCTAGAAGATTGCAATGCAGTGGACGATATGAATGACAAGCTCGTGGAAACTGTCCATGCAGTCGGAGCTAAGTTCTGCAAGACCCGCCGCAGAAGAACACAAAAACTCTCCGATCACACTCTTAATCTTATGGCTGTTAGACGGGATATGAAGGTGCAGTCTTCAGTAGATTTGACAGCATACAGGCAACTGAACAGACAGATCTCCAAATGCATGCGGCGGGACTTACGCAACTTTAATACTGCTCGTATTGAAGAAGCGATCGAGCGGAACCAAGGCTCCAAAGTCTTTGCAGGAGATCTGTCTGCCAGAAAGAGCCAACTGTCAAAGCTGAAGACCGAATGTGGCAGCATCGTTTCCGGGACACCTGAGATTTTGAGTGAGATTGAGAGGTTCTATGGCAGCTGTACACGTCATCGTTGGAGCCACACGCAAGTGTGAGTAACGATCCAAGCGCGAGTCTTATCCGACACTATTCCGATGATATCCTGGACGTCAGTCTCAGCGAGATTAGAATGGCTCTCCAGCACCTTAGAAACGGTAAGGCCTCAGGCGAGGATGGAATTACAGAGGAGAGCCCTGAAAGCGGGTGGGAAACCGGTACTTGAAGTCCTTCGGAAGCTCTTTAATTCCGTCCTCCATGGTGGCATACTCCGGAGACGTGGAGCAGAAGTGCGGTGGTCTTGTTCTTCAAGAAAGGTGACAACGCTCTCTTGAAGAACTGCAGACCGATTTCCCTTTTGAGCTGCGTCTACGTGCTGTTTTCGAGAGTCATTACGAATCGTCTCGCGCGCAGACTTGACGACTTCCAGCCTCCCGAACAAGCCGGTTTCCGAAAAGGCTTTAGCACCATAGACCACATACATACTCTTCGGCAAATTGTACAGAAGTCAGAGGAGTACAATTTGCCACTATGTCTGGCGTATGTGAACTATGAGAAAGCCTTTGATTCCGATGAAATTTGGGCGGTGCTGCAGTCCTTTCAGCGGTGCCAAGTTGACTGTCGGTATATCGAAGTGCTGAAGTGCTTGTACAGTAGGGCTACGATGGCTATCCGAGTACAGAACCAGAGTACGAAACCTATCCAACTGCAGAGAGGTGTAAGACAGGGTGACGTCATATACGGTACGGTATCAACATCAATGGCGAGTACATCACTCACCTTCGATTTGTCGACGATATAGTCCTTATGGCAGAATCGCTGGAGGACCTAAGCACTATGCTCAATGGCCTCAATAGTGTCTCCCAACGGATAGGTCTTAAGATGACCATGGACAAAACAAAGATCATGTTTAATGTCCATGTCACAGCTATGCCGGTAGTTGTTGGGAGCACTAAGCTCGAAGTTGTTGACGAGTATGTTTACCTGGGACAAATAGTCCGACTAGGTAAGTCCAACTTCGACCGAGAGGTCAATCGACGGATTCAACTCGGCTGGGCAGCGTTCGGGAAATTACGACACATCTTCTCGTCAGACATACCTCAAAACCTTAAAACGAAATTGTACAACCAGTACGTGTTGCCAGTGATGACTTACTGATCTGAGACGTGGTCCTTTACTGCTGGCCGGATGAGGAAGCACAAGGTCGCTCAGCGAGCTATGGAGAGGGCTATGCTCGGAGTTTCTCTGCGTGATAAACTTAGAATTGAGGATATCCGCAGTAGAACCAGAGTGACCGACATAGCTCAACGGATTAGTGAGCTGAAGTGGCAATGGGCCGGCCATATAGCTCGAAGAACCGACAACCGATGGGGAAAAAAGGTTCTCGAGTGGCGGCCTCGCACCGGCGGATGAAGTGTAGGGCGGCCCCCTACTAGATGAAGTGACGCCCTGGTAAGACATGCAGGAAGTCGATGGATGCAGGTGGCTCAGGACCGTGCTTTGCGGCACTCCTTGGGATAGGCCTATGTTCAGCAGTAAACTTGTGAAAGGCTGTAATGATGATGATGATGATGAAGTAGATAATAGCATCCAACCATCTTCTCTGTTAAAATTAGGATGTTTCGGTTAGGATGATCGGTGTTCTTTAGCGAGGATTTTTGGTCTATCGAATCTGATATTTTGACGGGGGCGATCCTATACGTGTTCAAGACTGCACACTTCTCGGAGCTATTTTTATTAGCTTTTTTTTATAGAATAAGAGTGATAATCGAGCACACGTCTGTGGGTGAATGCGAAAGAAAATATAAAGAGATGCAACATATCTTCGCAGCGCCAATGAGTCGAGCCGATCGGAAAGGACTCGGTCGTCGACGATTGGAGCCGCTCTACGCTGGATGCGGTAAAGTGGAAGGAGCCCAGCCCAGAGATGGGAACAATATTCCATGTGAGGCCGAACCTGCGCCTTGTAAAGTTGCAGGCGTTGTGCTGGCATGAAATACTGTCCCGCTTTGCTGAGTACGCCAAGCTTTTTAGAGGCCAATTTGGCCTTCCCTTCCAAGTGACCACGAAACTGCACGTCACTCGATATGTCGACGCCGAGAATTCCGATACTGGCTGAGGCAACAAGGGGAGTACCTTGAAACTGAGGAGATACGACAAAGTGGTTCTTTTTAAAGGTAAACGCGCAAACTTGCGTCTTCTGAGGATTAAACTAGACTAGATTTAGTCGCCACCAATCCGAGACATTGTCCAGCAAAGACTCGACTTCAGACACAAGTTTGTTCCGGTACTCGGCGACGTTTTCCCGAGAAATATTGGCACGGCCGGTGCATAAAGCATCACCAGTGCTGTCATCCGCATAGCAATGAATGCTACCGGTTTGCAATATATCATTGATATGCAGGAAGAAACAGCGTTGGTGACAGCACGCGGCCTTGTGAAATACCAGCGTTAATAGGCTTGTAGTCGGAGCATGCACCGTCTACAACGACCTTGATGCTCCGATCTGCAAGAAAGCTGATGATCCAATTGCATAATTTCTTGGGAAGCCCATAGGAAGTCAGCTTCGAAAGAAGCGCTTTGTGCCAAACCCGATCGAAGGCCTTCGTAATGTCCAAACTAACGGCCAATGCCTCCCCCTTGGACTCTACTGCCTCCGCCCATCTATGAGTTAAGTAGACCAGAAGATCACTAGCTGATCGACCCCGACGAAAACCGTATTGGCGGTCACTAATCAGCTGGTGATCCTCAATGTACCGCATGAGGTGGCAGTTTATAACGGATTCCATTATTTTGGAAAACATGGGGGTGATGGCGATAGGCCTGTAGTGGGACGGGTCAGAGCGGTTGCCTTTTTTAGGGATCGGGTGGACAAAAGCTGTCTTCCATGATTTCGGGACTACGCCTAGGGAGTAAGAGTACCAGAAAAGACGCGTTAGAACCGGTGCCAACTCCGGAGCACACGTCCTCAGCACTATTGGGGGGATTCCGTCAGGCCCACTCGACTTGTGGATGTCCAGGGAGAGGAGTGCTTTGCGAACCGAGCGCTGTGAGAACCGCACATCCGGCATGGGGCACTCACACCGCGGGATGGTCGGCGGTGTTCCCCCCGTCATCAACAGGCGAGTTGGACGCAAAAAGGGAGGCTATAAGGTCGGCTTTCTCTTTTGCGTCGTGGGCCAGTGAGTCGTCCTCCCTGTGCAGAGATGGTAGTGATGGCTTACGGAAATTCCCTTGGACAGCCTTGGCGAGAGACCAGAATGCACGGGTTCCCGAAGGAAGGCGAACTAGTTTCTCGCCAATTCTGCCTATGTGCTCGGACTTTGCCTTGGCAATAACTCTTTTGAAGGACCTGGAGGCGAAGTTATACTCCTTTTTAAGTATGCTGGTGTTTACATCCCGAGTCGCCGAAGCCGCAGCCCAGGCTTGATAACACTCCTGCTTACTGCGTAATGCAGTCTTACAGGAGCGACCAAACCAAGGCTGAGATCTGCCTCCGATGTGTACCACGGATGATGGAATAAATAGTTCCATTCCCTGTAGCACCACATCAGTGACAGAGTCAACAACAGCGCTGGGATCATCCGGCGAGAAGCAAACCCGCCGCCATGGGTAGGAAGCAAAGAAAGACCGCATTCCGTCCCAATCCGCCGAACACGCTGTAATGCCAAACACGGCGGCAACCTGCAGAACGCAACCGCGAGGGGAGCGTGAGTGGCACCACACTCCGGATCGGACAATGGTCCGAAGAGCCAAGAGGGGCTTCGACGGAAACCTGATATCCGTCCGGATGAGAGGTCAGCAGAAGGTCCAACAGGGAAGGTGTATGATCCTCCACATCTGGAATCCGCGTAGACAAAGTAACCAGTTATGTCAGACCATATGCCAAAGCAAAGTCATAAACAGATCTCCCCGCATGTTCGGTTAAACATGAACCGAGCCATTCGGCGTGGTGGGCGTTAAAAATTGCCAAGGATCACGATCTCTGCGGATGGGACCTGTTGTAGCAAGGAATCTGTAGTCATTTGGACGTGGTCGATGAGTCGGTCTGTTTCGGCATTACCGCTATGGGACCTATAGAGGCACCCGTAGACGCGCGGATGGTCGTCGCTGTCTACGAATAGCCAAAGGATGGACAGGTCCGAACCTTCAAGACTGCCGAGGCGTCGAGTACAGATGTCCTCTCTGACGTATACGCAAACTCCAGCCCGAGCCACAAAGGAGTGCTCCAATTTGTACCCCGGGTAGGAGAGATATGAAGTATCAGCTGGAGAGGACACCTGCGTCTCGGTCAGAAAGAGCAAGGCCGCCTTCGCCGTCTCGAGATAGTAGTGGACGGCGTTTAGGTTCGAGTGAAGTCCCCTGATGTTGCAGAAATTCACGGGTAGCGTGGCAGGGGTCGCCTTGGTCTTGTTGTTCAGTTTGCCCTAAAATACGCGGGGCAGCCTGAGCACCCACGCTCAGGAGTGGAATAGCATGGTCGTGGATGCTCAGCGAGGGATTCTCCAGGGGTGCTGGTACCCTCCTGGGGTAGTCTATGATGTAATTCCCCTACCATGTTGATGGGGGGGGGGGGACTGGGCCTCCGGTCACCTGCACTCACCAGACGAAACGCGGAAGCAGAGCTTCTACCTCACGCCGGTATTCTGTGAGGTCGTGGTACCAACCCGACTCGAGCCGGCCCATACGTGCAACAGCAAAAGCTGCTGCGTGGCTCTACCATCGTTATTTATGTGTGTTACCTCATAGCTTTTTTTTTTGGGTGAACGGATTTCGATGATTCTTTTTTTATTTGAAAGCCGATGCTTCACATATGGTCCCATATAAATTTGATCAAGGTCTGACCAATACTTTTTGAGTTATTCTTAATAATTTATATTGAAGTCGGTTGTACAACATTTTAAATTTGAAATAATATTTAATAATTATATCTACCGATTGCTTGCGAGTCGACTAATGTGGCTCCGACAAAAAATTTTGCCGGCGGGGATAGGGATGGGCAAGTGGAAAAAATATATCGATGTTTATCGTGTCGATATTTTTAAATAGTATCGATAAATATCGCGTGATAAATATCGATAATCGTCATGTTTTGCATTATGTAGTAGGGACAAAATTTTATTACTGGTCGTTATTTCGGGTTATTTCGGTCGATCGATATTTTTTACCCAAGCCTAGGCGGGGATCGAACCCGGGTTGCTCGCGTAACTGTAAAATTTACAGCTAGCACTAAGCCCCTGAGCTACCACGTGTTTCGCAGAATTGAGAGGAGGCCTGTGCCTAGCATTGGGACGTATATAGGCTGTAACTTATAGTATATATTAATGTATATTATTTTGTTTGTCAAATTGATGATCTGCAAGTTGGAGCAATAAATAAATATGTTCTTTTTCTTCTACTTGTCCTTGTGTCCAGTCCCTTGGCGTATTCGGACCCCAGCAACTGTTCGCTGACGTCAGTGTGGGTGCTGGTGCTGCGGGATGCTCTGCAGCAGTTCGCGTACGCGGCGGAGTTGGCCGGCCTGCGCTGGAACATCGGCAACGCGAAGTACGGACTCAGTGTGAGTTGCACAACCAACGCTGTTCCACTTCCAGCTCCTTACTACTGGAATAAGTTCCGCCCAGCTGCCAGTATCTCCAATACCAAACGCATGTCTCCGAATTACTAGTTCAACAGTTTCATTTCCGGCTCCTCACTGCTGGACATGGTTCAGCCAGTAACTGGCGTCGAAAATACCAAACGCATATATCTAACTCACTCCCCCGTCAGTTCCACTTCCAGCACCTCACTACTGGACGTGCGTCAACTTAGTAATCTGCATCGCCAATACCAAACGCAAGTGTACAACTCAGTAGCAATACGTTTAGCCCTTCACTGCTGGACGTATCGTCGCATATATACACTGTGAATTGTGTCAACTCTGTGCACTAAGATGAAATGTCTCTCAGCATGTAAATACTGGCTCCCTATATTGATACCGGAACAGTTAGTTCCCACTTGTCGGGTGTCGGGCCCTGTATTTTAATCGCCTGTGGGCGCCACTGTGTACACTACACGGTTACCCGATTGAAGATGGAAACAATTTTTACGGTTCTGATAACCAACGGAACCCTATTACTAACCTTCCGCTGTCCGTCCGTCCGTCTGTAGGTCCATACGTCCGTCCGTTCGTCAGTTCGTCCGTCCGTCCTTCTGTCTGTCTGTCAGCGGGCTGTATCTCATGCTCCGTTATAGGTTTAAAATTTTCACACAATGTATATTTCTGTTGCCGCTGTAACAATAATTAAAATAATAATAATAAAAAAATTGTTACGACTGTTAATTGCATTTTTCAATACGTTTTCACGAGAACATTCCCGATAATCGTCCAATAGTACTTAATACGGTGTATGGGAAATCAGACTTTATGTCATAAGTGATAAGGATTAATATCCCTTGTATAATTAATATATGGGGACGGTAATATAATGCAAGCAAGATTGAACTTTATGCTCATGGGCATAAAGACTTCTGCTTTGGAGAATAGAACTCTTTACTCTGTCATTACAACCTATTAACAGTTCTTTAAATACAGGTCTTGGCAGGCGATTTGCTTTTGCTGCTGTCCATCCTGTTTCATTCCCTCTATCGCCTCTTACGTCATCCAGTAGATTATGTGGGTTCTTGAATTTTCCTAACCCACTAAACGCGGCGACCCCTTCTCTCATCTATCTTCTGTCTATATGTATAAATAAAATGATAGAAGTTTGCAGTTGTGCGTGCATCACCGAAAAAGTACTGGATAGATTTCAATTAGGTTTTCTAAGTTTTATTTCTTAAACACTTGGCACTTATCTAAAAAAAAAAAAGAATATTCCGATATCTTCATTTAATATAAAGTTATTAAAGTTTTAAGAAACAACGATTCTTATACGGGGTTATAACACGGTCAACTGTACGTCGCTTGCTCTCTCTCGTTTACAAAGAAATTTTGTAAGCAAACTATATTTTTGTTTGTGATCTTTTTTAAGGTTTCTTTCCTTCGCACATACGAACAATTTGTTAATATATCAAGCAACGCTGATGAAGTCGCGCTAGTTAGATATAAAAGCGTGCACAGGCGACCTTGAATTTAGTTATTTTGGGAGCAGGATGATAAACACTACGGCAGAAAGGGACTTAAAATCAAAGTAAATTTACGTTGTCGCTAGATGTCGCTAAAATAATAAATCTCTCCGCAGACTATAATGAACATTACTTTAGAAAAATAGTCCTATAAAACTTAAGAAGTTCCTTGTCGATAGATGTCGCTAAAATTAATAATTCTACTCAGATTATAATGAACACCGCTTTAAAAATCTATGAAAGTAAATAAAATTTAAATGTCTGTTTGTAATGTCAAAATAACAGTTTTTAACTAAATGCATTTGAAAGCATATACGATACTTATAACTTTTTTTTTAATTTTTGTCTATCGATCTGTCTGTCTATCGGTTCATGTGTTTGTCTGTTTGTTCCGGCTAATCAGAAATAGCTAGACTGATTTTCACTGGCAAATAGCTGATATTATAAGCAGTAACTTAGCTTACTTTTGATTTATTAAAAGAATTATGATTCCCCGTAAAAAATTAAAAACCATGAAATCCAATCGCGATAACAGCTAGTAGACTATAAAGCTAAAGATATATCTCGTCGATCGATATCGCTTAAATAAAAAAAATCTCCTCAGATTACAATAGAGGGCTACGACGACAAGCAGCACGTGCTCCTGGAGAAGATCATCGACCACATCGTGAACTTCAAGGCGGATCCCAAGAGGTTTGAGATCATGAAGGAGAACCACATCAGGGCAATCAAGAATTTCGATGCAGAGCAACCTTACCAGGTCGGTATATATAGTCAAACTTACAATATAAAGGTTGAGTCTAATAAAACCGCTCACTGTACACACTAAAAGTTCGTTTTGTAGTCCTATAACGTAAATAAATAAAAAAAAAACAAAAATAAGCTCGTCATCTTCAAGTGTTTGAAATTTTATTCTTGAATTAAATGAAGAAAAGCTAAGACCACCTTAGTTTAGTTTCACACGCTCAACATATCTCAACATATCAACATATCTCACCCCCATATACGCTGATGATGACCACTGTGAAGTTTTAATCGATAGGAGTCCGGCATAATCTTTCTGTTACCCCCGTAGCCTAAGGTATCCATTATCCCATGCAGCAACCCTTATCGTTTGATATTTCTTGCAGCATGCCGTGTACCAACAAGCTCTCTGCCTGTCCGATCTCGTCTGGACCCGTTCACAACTTCTCGAAGCTGCTAAAGGTAAATAATACTCACCGTTCGTTATTGGGCAGTGGCCTTTTCTCACTCTCAGTTTAATATCTATATATCTATACAAATAAATAAAATTGGAGTGTCTGTTTGTAATGTTAAAATAACATCTTTTCATTAAATACATATGAAAGTATAAACGGTACTTATAATAAAGACAATTTTTTTTTAATTTTTTTTATCTGTCTGTCTGTTTGTTCCGGCTAATCTCCGAAACGGCTAGACCGATTTTGATGGGACTTTCACTGGCAGACAGCTGATGTTATAAGGTGTAACTTAGGCTACTTTTATTTAAGAAAAATTAAAAACTTAAATTATACGCGGGCGAAGTCGCGGGAACAGCTAGTTTATTAATATAAATGTGGGAATATTTAAACGTGTAGTGGCGGTGTAAGAATAACTACCCCACATCGTTCCATGGGTGTCGCAAGAGGCGACAGAGGGAAACAAACAGGACGCGTCCTAAGAGCAACTAGAACAAAAATTTGATTGCCAACCAGGTTACCATGCGTGGCAACTATGGCAAATATCTCCCCCTATAGGGGAGGCTTATGTTCAGCAGTGGCGGTAACGGTAACATAAAATGTTACTAATATTTCAGAATGAAACATTAACCTCTACACTTTTCCAATAACCTAACTTCACCCCTATGAAAACTGTTAAATATTCCACACATCATTCGTAAGTGGCGCCGCCCTGGTGGCAGGAAAGTTCGTGGATACCCTCATTTTTATGTTGTAGAGCTATGTTGCAGCACGAATGACTCAGCTCGACCGGGGAAGGACCACGCTCTCACAGAATACCAGCGTGAAATAGCAACTTAACACTGCTGTGTTTCGTATTGTGAGTGAAGAGAACCGGAGACAGTTTTTTTTACTGAAAACGAGGCACTCCATCTTAGTCTTTGTGGGTGAGAACACATCTGCATTTTGATTCTTAATCGAGGATTGATATAGATGTTTATGGGTCACAGCATCCACTTACCATTAGTGATCATTTATCACCCTTATTCTATAAAAAAACTATTCTGTGAGTATGTTTGTGTGTCTGTTCCAGACATAACCAGTGACCAGTTGGATGAGTTCGCTGGTCGACTGATCCGCAAGGTTCACGTGGAGGCGCTGATGTTCGGGAACCTCACCAGGGAACGAGCACTCTCTATGGCGGACATGATTGAGGCCAAGTGGGTACATATTTGTAACTACCCTCAACCATATCCACTCATCTCCACGATGTAGCTGGATACAACCAGTAAAATTCCATAGGAGGGTTTAACGTACTACGTTTTTATTTTTGTGATTTCTATAAACCCTTGTACTTGTTTCACAACATTTATTTTAAAGTTTTAAATTACTACCCATAAAAATAGACCGGCTTCGCAGTAAAAATTACAGTATTTCCAAGTAAAAACAACACATTTTAGTTTAGTTTTTTTTTTAAATAAAAACTAACTTATGTTTTACTACCCTCAACCACATCCGCACACTTCCACCAGCCATGCCACCAGTAAAAGTTCTTTACTGGTTTTTCTTTTATAGAAGAGAGTTCCAAACGAGCATGCGGCTCACCTGATGGCAGGTGATTACCGCTGCCCATGAACAACCGCAACACCAGGGAAATTGCAGATGCGTTGCCGGCCTTTTAGAAAGGTGTAAGCTCTTTTCTTGAAGGTCCCTAAGTTGTATCGGTCCGGAAAAATCGCCGGTGGTGAACGATTCCACAAAGAGATTGTCCGAGGAAGAAATCTCGTAGTAAAAAATGCACAGTGGTGGACCGCCAAACATCCAGATAGTGTGAATGGTATCGTGAATTTTGACGCGATGTGCGTTCGTGAAGTTTGGCGTCTGGAATTAATCCGAACAATTCCTCAGAGGTTTACCGTAATCGCCTGTAAGATAAAGTAATCGCATCACACAGCGTGCGATATTCTATCTCATTCTCTCGCGGCTAAATCCTATATATGTATCTATATGTTTGTCGCTTTTCACTTCAATAAATCATACATTTTCGTTTCTAGATTGCCCAAAGATGGGACACCATTGCTGGCTCAACAGCTCATGCTATACAGGGAAGTGGAACTGGAGAGAGGTGAGTTAGAATTGTTCAGAATAATATACATAATATTGTGGGTAAATTACAGGGTTATTTTTCAGAGTAGGGTAGGGGTAGGGTGACAAGCGAGCACACAGTCCACCTGATGGTAAGTGGTTGCTGTGGCCCATAGACATCTACATCTACCCTCGTTTGCGACTCAAAATGCAGATGCGTTGTCAGCCGTGAGGACTAAGATGGAATGCCTCTTTTCCAGTAAAAATGGTCTCCGGTTCTCTACACTCATCATACGAAACACAGCAGTGTTAAGCTGCTATTTAACGCTGGTATTCTGTGAGAGCGTGGTCCTTCCCCGGACGAGCCGACCCATTCGTGCAACAACTATACTACTAATATAGCCGCAGCATGGCTCTACCACGTTAAACAAATTTTAAATATATAAATGATGTACCGTTATTGCAGTTTTTGAAAATACGAGTAAATAAGGCTTCTACTTTTATTTGAAATTATCCCAAATTGAATATGATTTATGGTTAACAACGTTATAAATAAGGACAGCGTTTTCTAAATCACTTTAATCCAATACATCGGATTTGCACATGTCACAATTGTGAACTCTTAGAACAATTGTTTTAAATTATTTATTTATAAGAGATATACAACTAAAATTCTATGAATTTTATTATATTAGTCTCTTTACTAAATTGCGAGAAATAAATTAAGAGAATTGACTTCAAATAACTCCCTTCCGCCATTATGCTACTTTACTATTAGAACTACGTCGGCTTTGCAGGTCGATGTAGTACTTCACCGTGTAGATGGCGCTGTTACAGAATTGTTTCATTTGTAAAATTTGTTTTTAAAGTTGCCAATTGGACCGCGGCGGGTTCGAATCCCGCACGGAACAAGTATTTGTATGGCCTGCAAATAATTGTTCCGGGTCTGGATATTTCTCCTCGTGCAATCTATGTTCGTAAACTGCCTCCACGGTACAGGAGAAAATCCTAATGTAGGGGTATTTTTTAATAGAAGAGGGGGCAAACGATCATGCGGCTCACCTGATGTCAAGTGACTACCGTCGCCCGTGAACAACTGCAACACCAGGGGAATTGCAGATGCGTTGCCGGCCTTTTAGAAAGGTGTAAGCTCTTTTCTTGAAGGTCCCTAAGTGGTATCGAAAAATCGCCGGAGGTAAACAATTCCACAGAGAAGTTGTACAAGGAAGAAAATTTCCTAGTAAAACGCACAGTCGTGTACCGCCACGCATCCAGATGGTGAGGATGGTATCGTGAATGTTCACGCGATGTGCGTTTGTGAAATTTGACGGCTGGAATTAATCCGAACAATTCCTCAGAGCACTCCCCGTGGTAAATTCGATAGAAAATGCAAAGGGATGCAACATCCCTATGCAGTGCCAATGTATCGAGTCGATCAGAAAAAACTCGGTCGTCGACCATTCGAACTGCTCTGCGCTGGATGCGGTCAAGTGGAAGGAGCTGGTACTGGGGTGCCCCGGCCCAGAGATGAGAAGAGTATTCAATGTGACGCCGGATTTGCGCTTTGTAAAGTTGTAAGCGATGTGCCGGCGTGAAATACTGTGTCGCTCTGCTGAGCACGCCAAGCTTTTTAGAGGCCAATTTGGCCTTCCCTTCCAAGTGACCACGAAACTGCACACTATTCGATATGTCGACGCCGAGGATTCCGATACTAGCTGAGGCAGCAAGGGGAATGCCTTGAAACTGAAGAGATACGACAAAGGGAATTTTACTTCTTTGTGGAATCAATTACCACCAGCGAATTTTCCGAACCGATACGACTTAGGAACCTTCAAGAAAAGAGCTTACACCTTTCTAAAAGGCCGGCAACGCATCTGCAATTCCCCTGGTGTTGCGGTTGTTCATGGGCGGCGGTAGTCACTTAACATCAGGTGAGCCGCATGCTCGTTTGCCCCCTATTCTATAAAAAAAAAAAAAAAAAAAAAAAAAAAAGGGATTCTTTTCAGTAGTAAACGCGCAAACTTGTATCTTCTGGGGATTGAACTGGACTAAAATCGTATTTTTAATTAAATGAAGCTGCCTGACAGATGCCAATGTCACTTTGTGATTTAATGTTGCCAGGTTCATTGTAATAATGATGCGTTCAGTCAGTCAGTTAGTATACGATAACTTGATGATTATGACTAATATTAAATTAACCTATCTTGATTGACATTGTGAAACTTGTTGACGATTATTATATCATTGAAATATACAGAAAAAATATTGTTAGTAAGAATAATAATTCAATACTGTTGTGACTCGAGGGGGCGCTCTGACTTTCGGAACGCACCCTGCGCCCGCCGTGTCGGTCGCCATTTTGTGTGTCATTCGTTCATTTGTATGTCTTGTCATTCATTCGACTTCTAACATCTGGTGTGATCGCTCGAATATTTTCTCTGCGCGCTGTTCTCCTGTTTCTTTTCGCTAATTTCTTGTTAAGTTTTTTGTTACGTTGTGTTTGTGTTGATTGTTGACTTATTGTGTTTTTATATTGTTACCGAAAAGCTTATGGTACGCAATGTCTACAAATACGTATTTGAGCAGGAAACTGCTTCGGTATTACTTACTGAAATACCGCAAAAAAATATGTGTTTCTAAGACAGCTGAAATTTTGGGAATCGGTATGACCACAGTGCTCAGTGTATTAAAAGAATACGAACAAAACGTGCAATTTAAGTCTCCTGTCAAAAACTTGGACCGAAACATAATTTCAAGAATAAATTAGACGATTTCACTTTAGCGGCTATAGGGCGAAAAGTACACCAATTTTTTATGAAAATGAAGCACCCACCCTCGCAAAGGTAACTTTAGTATTGTTATTTTTTTTTACATCTTTGTGCGCGGCGCTATGTGTGCGTAAAGCTTGTTATAGATACAGTTTGCGTGACGACAACTGTCGCGTCACTATCACACAAATCAAATCTGCATATTTACACGCTCACTCACACATAGCGTTTTTTTTTTTTGAGGTTCTATTTAACTTTTTTTCTATTGCGTAGACTTTCTTACTCATAATCTGTTTAAAATGCAGATTCTTAAGGTTGTAAGAATTACCCAGATTTCCCACTTCTCTTGGAGTACCTATCTTGAGGAAAATTTTTAAAACACTTTTATTTCAAATACGCCACAAAATCTAGAAAAAGCTTGCTAATAGATAGACGCGATATTGTTCTGTGGCGCCAGCGATACCTTCAAAAAATTAAAGATTATCGCAGAGAAGAAAGGTACATTTATTACCAAGATGAAACCTGGATCAACGAAGGTAATTAAAATTTTCTCTGTTTTATTTGTCTATTACAGTGTATGTATTGCGTGCCACCGGTGAACTTAATGAGTAATTGGTATTTTTCATTTTCTCGAAGATCATACACCGAAGAAGCAATGGGTTGACCAGATTGTACAATCGTCCCGGCAGGCATTCTTATAAAGGTTGACCACCGGCTTGAAAGGGCCTTCAGGAAAAGGCAAACGGATAATTATTAGCTATATAGGCGGGGAAGAAGGATTTGTAGAAGATAGCTTCCTTGTGTTTGAGGCTAAACAAGGAAAAAGAAGATTACCATCAAGAGATGAATGCTGAGTGTTTTGAGGAGTGGTTTAGTGGGGTTTTGCCCAAACTAAAACCTAATTCCGTAGTGGTGATGGATAAGTGGATCACTCCAGAAAGTTAGAATCGCTGCCTACAATGTCTTGGAATAAATCAAGAGTACAAGAGTTGATGGCGAGCAAAAATATCCCATTCGAGGCACAAATGGTAAAAGCTACTCTTTTAGACATTGTACGGCAGCACAAACATGAACACTGCGACAAGTATGCCGTGGACGAGATGGCAGCGGAGCGTGGAGTCACTGTTTTACGTTTGCCCCCTTACCATTGTGAGCTCAATCCCATTGAGTTGATTTGGGCGCAGGCCAAAGGGTATGTTGCAAGAAACAACAAGACCTTCAAAATGAAAGATGCAAAAAAACTTTACGAAGAAGGACTAAATGAAGTGACTGCCGAAAAATGGAGTAGCTGCGTGTCTCACGTAATAAAAGAAGAAGACAAAATGTTTAATCTCGACCACATGATCGATAGTGTCTCAGACAAGTTTATAATAAATGTTACTGACAGTGACAGTGACAGTGACAGTGATGATATTATATCTGAGGACGATGAATAAAAAATGTAATACTTAAGTTTTTTTTTTATGAAATCCCTATGACAACATACGCTATGGATAATTTTCGCCTGATCAACTGAAAACATGGATGTACCTTAAACAAATCTTGACGGAACTTTTAAAAACTTCAGTTAAAAAAAAATATTTTTTTTACCATTCAGTCGTTTTCTTTATCAGTTAGTCATTTCGTTTTCTGTTCAGTCATTTAGTCACAACACTATTTTTGATTCATCAAAACCTGACAACCCAGTAAACGTCAGGCAGCTTCGTTTAATTAAAAATACGACTTTACATTTAGTCGCGCCCAATCCGAGACTTTGTTAAGCAAAGACTCGACTTCAGACACAAGTTTGTCCCATGTGAAATATTGGCACGGCCGGTGTATAAGGCAACACCAGTGCTGTCGTCTGCATAGCAATGAATGCTATAAAAAAAGCGCCGAGTTTGGGCTCGTTTTGTTAGTTATGATGAGACCTTGCCTCCGGACTTGATGGAGTGACTTGAAGGTGTACTTCGGTGACTGCTACTGGTACTTTTTGACGAATAGAACTACTATTTACATTTTTTTATTAATGAGCATTATGAATCGTGCACTTTTGGAGTTACCAAGCTTTTTTTTAATTGAAATTTGACATAAAATTATCGGAAAATTGGAAGTATAGTAATAATTATAAGGTTTTTAATGAAAACTTGTGTGTAATTAAATTACATTAAAAATTTACTAATAAATGTTATAATAAAACTAATAAATTAAAATAAAATGCAACTTTTGCAGGGTCCTGGTTCCTTCGGGAGACGGAAAACTCAGTCCACAAGTCCTCTTGTGCGTCCCTGTACTACGCGTGTGGAGTTCGAGCCACTCGGCCCAATGTGGCTTTAGAGCTACTGGCTCAAGCTTTGGCTGAACCCTGCTTCAACGTGCTCAGGACTAAGGTTGATGTGTTATTTATTATTTAATCCAAGCTTATTAATGTCGCGTTGTGAAAAAGTAGCTTAAAATTAATATTCTTGTATCAAAAAAAATTGACGATTTAATTGAGTAGTTACAGTGCTTTAACTCTGCTATAATTTTGGCACCGGTTTAAACTAATGATTGGCTCAAAAGGTTGGCTTAAAATATTCTTGTCTCAAAAGAAATTTCACAATGAAATTGGGAAGCTACAGAGCTTAAAATATGATATAAGTTTTGGCACAAAATGGTTTGAACAAATGATTGAATTTACCCATGGAGTGCCTCGTAGAGGGGATATTTGTCATAGTTGCCACGCTTTTTACGAGGCTGACAAACGAGTGCAGCGTCCGTCTTTTTTTATAGGATAAGGGTGGTAAACGAGCACACAGTCCATCTGATGGTAAGTGGTTACTGTGGCCCATAGACATCTACATATATTCTCGATTACGAATCAAAATGCAGACTAAGATGGAATGCCTCGTTTCCAGTAAAAAGGGTCTCCGGTTCTCTACACTCACCATACGAAACACAGCAGCATTAAGCTGCTATATTACGCCGGTATTCTGTGAGAGCGTGGTCCTTCCCCGGTCGAGCCGACACATTCGTGCTATAACTATACTACTAATATAGCTGCAGCATGGCTCTACCACGTGGCAATACCTGATACCTGACCTATACCTGAGGTCTGATAGTACAATACACCTATCCTATTAAAGTGCGTTATCACCCTTGCGTTCCAAGCTCGAATGACTTGTTAATAGTGAAATAAATCTAAAACAGTAATAAATTAAAAAAATACCATACCATTACCATTACAGCCTATAAAAGTCCACTGCTGAACCTAGGCCTCCCCCATAGATTGCCTCATAGGGGGATATTTGCCTTAGTTGTAATGTTACTGTAGATTTGAAAATATCACCTCTCAGTGCGTCATGTACTCCTGGTAGATTACCTTCTATACATCCATCCATTACAGCCTATTAAAAGCCCACTGCTGAACCTAGGCCTCCCCCATAGATTGCCTCATAGGGGGGTATTTATCATAGTTGTAATGTTACTGTAGATTTGAAAATATCACCTCTCAGTGCGTCATGTGCTCCTGGTAGATTACCTTCTATACATCCATCCATTACAGCCTATTAAAAGCCCACTGCTGAACCTAGGCCTCCCCCATAGATTGCCTCATAGGGGGGTATTTATCATAGTTGTAATGTTACTGTAGATTTGAAAATATCACCTCTCAGTGCGTCATGTGCTCCTGGTAGATTACCTTCTATACATCCATCCATTACAGCCTTTTAAAAGTCCACTCCTGAACCTAACCCTCCCCCATAGATTGGATCGTAAGGATATATTTGCCATAGTTGCCACGCATGGCAGGCAGGTTGGCAACCGCATTTCTTATTATTTTGAGTTGTTGTCAGGAAGACGCTGCTGCCCGTCTCCTGATTTGTTTTCCTCTGTCGCCTCTCACGACACCCACGGGACGGTCTGGGGTAGTGCATATTCTTACACCGCCACTACAAGGTACAACTAAATAAAAGTATTGCCAGTAATTAAATCAACGCTTATTAATGCATCATTCAATTTGTTCCAGGAGCAACTTGGCTACATAGTTTTTAGCGGCGTCCGTCGTTCCAACGGTGTGCAAGGTCTCCGCGTCATAGTCCAGAGCGACCGGCACCCCTCATACTTGGAGGAGAGGATCGAGGCTTTCCTCCGTAGCTGCCAGGTTTGTAATTGCACTGGTGTGATTTGATGCTCGAGCAACTTGGCTACATGTTGAGTAATTTTTCAAAGTGAAAACTTAATTAAAATCGTTGATTTGAAACTCGATGTAACGAAATAAGAGACAAACATATACATCTATAGGATTTAGCCTGCGAGAGAATGAGATAGAATATAGTGTACAGTGTTTCCTTATGACTCCTCATAGTGCGGTGTTTTAATGATAGTTAATATAATTTTAAATTGTTAAAATAAACAGTCTAAAAAATTAACAAATTTCTTAAATAAATAAAATTGACCATATTGTATAAAATGATCATATCCAATCCATTCGTAACAATCCACGATTTCATAACTTAACGATTTATATTAAATGAGGGCATCGATTTTTCTGCCACCAGGGCGGCGCCACTAGAAAATGAGGTATAATATTTGACAGATTTCATAACGGGGAAGTAAATTTGTTCGGAAAATGTAAAGGTTAATGTTTCTTTCTGTACTATTAGCTATAGTTTATGTTAATAACGTTAAAAATAAATAAACCAAACCACAGATATTCATAGAAGTAGCAAAATTTAAAAAAAAAGTTAAAAATGTGCAAAAAATTGACGACGCCACTGACGCATTGTTTTGTGTATTAATATAATACTCTAGAAACTGAAAACTTTTATTAAAAACTAACTTCCCAATTAAATGACATTGTGTAACAAAAAACTTTACCTCAGTGTCAACTAGCGCCACCTGGTGAGCGGAAAGTTATCAGCCCTCATGCTTTAGGCCATGTAACGTCTATTTTACGTACCATCTTTCGTATCTACAGAATGTTTATGAGCAGCCTTACCACGATATAAGTTGAGGAGCTTGTTTGTGGCTTGTGTGAAACCTCCAAATGAAATTAAATATTAAATAAAAATATGTCACGGCAAATGATTTATTTAATATAATCATTTTCAACCACAAGTGCGGCATAAAATATATAATAAAAGTTTAATGTTATCTATACTAATATAATAAAGCGGAAGAGTTTTTTGTTTTTTTGTTTGTTTAAACGCGCTAATCTCTGGCACTACCAGTCCGATTTGAAAAATTCTTTTTGTATATTAGAGCCAGATTCATATGGAATAGTATATATATATATATATATATATATATATATATATAGCATATACTATTCCATAGCATTAAGCTATATTACTCAACTAGCCTTAAATATGGATATTTGTTAAGCAAGTCAGAAGAAAAAGCACTCCCGAAATGATTTATCCGCGTACGCTGGTGTTATCGTTAGGGATACGTAAATACAATGTTCTAGAAAAATATAGACCTTTACTCCGTCTAAAAAAAAGTCCGCGATACCATATGTCTATTTCTTATACATAAGCCACAATTTGGTATTTTGTGACAAAAAAAATATTGAAAATTTAAAAGTGATCTATGAGCGTTATTATTAGGCATGGCCTACTTATTCTTACGAACGAAAGTTACTTCATCATCAAGACAATTTTATGAAGATAAACTTTGTTCTTTATACCATGTTATTTGAACGCATAGTTTAAGAGATAATGTAAAATTAAAATAATTCAATACTTGGCTGGGCGCGCGAACCACGCTTAAACCCTAGCCGTTATAAAATGCTTGAACTGGATCATGTCGCGCACCTCGGACACGTGATGACGCGGGTGAAACCGCGGGGCACAGCTAGTAACAAATAAGTGTTACAATCCTTATTATTAGACTTTATTTTAGTGTTATTAAAATTGCTTGGTTATAGCGCCATCTACTCCATTCTATAGAAAAAGTCATTTTATCGAACAAATATTGATTGACTCTCAAAGTAGTACATAAGATATGCGCTAGATGGCATAAACACGAATAACTTTATACAAATCGGCAAGCTCTGAAGTCTCTTTTTAGTTTCATCGAGTTAACAAATCACAACGGTTTTGAAGAAGATTTCACACGTCATAAAAGTCTTTTTCTTTTTAAAGCAACTCCACTACGTGGAAGGACTCCGTTTTAGCCTAGAAGTCAATATGAGAACATATCATACTCTTATCTCTTTTTTTTAATAGTACAACAGCACACAGTCCACCTGATGTTATGTGAATTCTGCCTGCTCATAGACATCTCATTTATCCTCGATCAAGAATCAAAATGCAGATGTGTTGTCACCCGTGAGGACTAAGATGAATGCCTCGTTTCCAGTGTTTCTCCGGTTCTCTACACTTATCATACGAAACACAGCAACATTGAGCTGCTATTTTAGGCTTGTGTTTTGTGAGTGTTGTCCTTCACCGGTCGAGCTGAGTCATTCGTGCCGTAATCATAATATACATAGTTGTAATGTGGATGTACCACGTGAAAAGTTGGGTTTGATGGTTGATTTGATTTACCAAAGCGACGGCACCCGTTGCCTAACTTAAAGATCATATAACGCTTTCCTTTCGTTTCAGGAATACCTGGAGAAGATGTCAGAGGAAGAGTTCCTGAAGCACCGTGCAGCATTGGCTGCCCAGCGTCTGGAGAAGCCCAAGCGGATGAGCAGCAAGGCCTCGCAGCTCTGGAGCGAGATCTCCTCACAGGTACACTCAGTGCAGTTCTTGGCTTCTATTCGTATTGTTATAATGACGATTTTCCCTTGACAATATTGATCACAACTTACAAATCTTCATTTATCATCATCAGGCCACCCCCAAGGAATAACATAAGGCACAGTCCTCTTAGATCGTCATCACTCCATCTAGTGGGGGGTCGTCCTACACTTCGCCTGCCGCTACGAGGCCGCTACTCAAGAACCTTTCTTCCCCATCGGTTGTCGATTGTTCAGGCTATATGACCAGCCCATTGCCACTTCAGCTTACTGATCCGTTGAGCTATGTCGGTTACAATAGTTCTACTGCGGATATCCCAATTTATATCACGCAGGGGAACTCCGAGTATATCCCCGTTAAATATCATCCTCTGCACTTATCATCCTGTAAATTTCAGGTCCACTGCTGATTTTAGGCGTCTCTCGTTAGTCTCTCTCTCTCTCTCTCTCTCTCTCTCTCTCTCTCGTACGTACGTAGGAAATATTGACATGTTTAGTTATGGTTCTCTGGTCCTTGAAACCGGAACGTATAAGTTGGCACTATTCGATTCAAATAAGAATAGGACTGACCTGGCGCCATAGTGTGACGTCATAACTGTGTCAATTCAAACCAGTTGGGTAGGGTGAGCAAAATAGATATTTTTTGATGTCATATTAAATTTACAAATAAATCGAAAAAAGAACCATGAAAACAAAAGTTTTAATCTTAATCTAGCAGTTCAATTCCGCTCATCTCTGTATCACTGTCTGAGTAATCATCATCAGCATCATCATCACTGCTGCTTACCCTTATAAAAATAGAACAGACTTATGTAGGTATTTAAAGTATTCCATCGACTAGTCATCATCATCATCATCATCATCATCATTACAGCCCTTCACAAGTCCACTGCTGAACATAGGCCTCCCCCAAGGAATGCCACAAAGCACGGTCCTGAGCCACGTGCATTCATCGACTTCCTTCATATCTTACCAGGTCGTCACTCCATCTAGTGGGGGGACGCCCAACACTTCGCCTGCCGGTACGAGGCTGCCACTCGAGAACCTTTCTTCCCCATCGGTTGTCGGTTCTTCGAACTATATTGCCGGCCCATTGCCACTTCAGCTTACTAATACATCGACTAGTAGTATATCTATATTATAAAATTATTGTGACTTCAATAGATTCGCTAATACAGTTGAATACATATAAAAGTTGACAAATTTTCTTGGCAAGCCGTACTGAAAGTGACTGTTGACAGATCGCAGTCATTCGAAGTCATTGACATCTACATCTATTCTCGATTAAGAATCAAAATGCAAATGCGTTGTCACCCGTGAGGACTAAGGTGGAATGCCTCTTTCCAGTAAAAATGGTCTCCGGTTCCCTACACTCCACCATACGAAACACAGCGGCATTAAGCTGCTATTTTACGCTATTCTTCTGTAAGAGCGTGGTCCTGCCCAGGTCGAGCATATCCATTCGTGCTACAACCATAGTATAGCTGCAGCGTGGCTCTACCACGTATAAAATGATGTAACTACAAATAGCAAGGTCGCACGGCAACGTCAACTCAGTTTGTATGGCTTAAAGTCGCTCGGATAATCTCTGAAATATCACCGCCATTTTCAGGTGTACAACTTCGACAGGCCTCGAGTGGAAGTGGAACAGCTGAACACTATCACCAAGGAGGAGCTGATACAGTTCTACAAGGTCAGTTTTAAAAGATTTTTTACTGGGTGGCATGATATACGACGCCTTTTTACTCGACTGCGGAGTTTAATGTGATTATTAGACTATAAAGTATTAATGTATGTATGTATACAGAGTTATTTTGCAATAACCAGCCAAATTTGCAGATAAGGTTCAGAATAATTAATACAGTAGTCTCTCACTAATCCGGCACTTCGGTACATCGGCACTCTACTCTATTTATTCTGTACTCTCTTCCGCCGCTCCCTGCATGATCAGTATAAGCGAAAGCTTCAGCACAAAATGTAGCTGGTGCTGCACGAGTAGTGATTTGTCATTAAAATTGCAAAGATCAAGATATCGAGCAAACAGTTTCTGTTAATAAGACAGCATTGAAAGAGAAAATGGAGATTTAAAATAATTTCAAGTTACAAATTTTATACAACCGACTTCAATATAAATTATTAAGAATAACTCCAAAAGCTATTGGTCTGACCTTGATCAAACTCATATGGGACCACATGTGAAGTACCAGCTTTCAAATAAAACAAGAATCATCGAAATCGGTTCATCCAGTAAGAAAACCCACATTAAAACACACACATAAAAAACATACAGTTGAATTGATTACCGGCTCCTTTTTGAAATCGGTAGAAAAGTTAGTGGAGAAAACGTGTGCACGATCTTAAGAAAAAGAGACAGAAGATAGAGGAACGCATGGAAGACACAGAAATTATTTTAAACAAAAACTACAAGTTGCAAAAAAACAGACCTTTTATTAAGGTCTATTTTAATATAAATTAGTTGGGTAAGATAAACATTGTCACAAATAAATATGTACATACATAAATGGATATGTATGTAATGCTTTATTTACCTTGAATTTCCCTATTTAATCCAGTAATCCGAATATTCCAATAACCCGTTACCCTCCGGTCGTTTATAGTACCGGATTAGTGACACTACTGTATAGGCATATTGATTTCGAACACTTTGTCCTTTTTATCTTTTAAATTCAAAATGTATGGTAATGCATTATTTTAATTGATTGTCACATTCATAAATATCTAAAGTGTACTATTTTACTACGCACGCACACATTCTTAAGGGTCGCACGGTCGGCAAAAACATTGTGACTAGAATCACACGTACGGGTAGTTGTTGCCCATAAATCACATTCAATTTGGGATAATTTCAAATAAAAGTAGAAGCCTTATTTACTCGTATTTTCAAAAAACTGCAATAACTGTATATCATTATTTATATATTTGAACTTAAGTTTAAAGTTTGGCTACTCTTTATATGTCATATATATTTAACTATATATGTTCATTAAATGGTTCTTTCTCGCTCAAAGGCTAAGTATAGCCATTCAGTGGGAAACGCAGCCAGCGTTCTTGGCACGATACCGCGGGGAGTAGGACTGTATGATAATTAAGTTACTAGTATTGTTTTTTTTTTATTGTAGTTTTTAATATTGTATATAATAAAATATTGTATATTATATTATTATATACCTATATTATTCATATATTTATATAAAAGTTATTTAATAATTAGTTTTTTTTTCTTTTCCTTATCCGTTTTTGTCAGGTAGAAGTAGCTTATATATATATATATATAGCGAGTTCATACGTTTTCCGTTATTGTAACAACTTTGTTTATATGCAATAAAGAGTTATATATGTATGTATGTATTTGTGTATGTTTGATCCTTTGTTGCGCGCTAGAGACCAAACGCGTGGTTGATTCTTACATCAATAAATTTGTCTTAATCTTGTAAGTCTCACTAAAGACGAGACACTAATCAAATTCAATAAGACGACAACCAGCCGCCATGTTGCTTAAGAGCCGTTGGACTTGCGCCTCGTCTCTCACCGGTCGTGTCGGCTTACCGTCCCATCGCACTATGAGAGTGAGGCAATAGAGAGTGCACCTGTGCTTGCGCACAGACTCTTTCACTGGCTGGTAGGCATCTGTCATTCGTTAATTTCTAGTGACCCGATCATTCGAGTATTGATTCGTTTGACCCGGTTCATTCGGGTCGATAATTCAAATGAATCATTTCGAGTTTCAGTACTTTGTGATCTATGAGAGCCGCTCGATAATGTCGGTCGTCGGACATTACTATACCATTTGATCGTAAGTTTTTTTTTTATAGGAGAGGAGGCAAATGGCTCACCTGATGGTAAGTGCAACACAATGGGAATTGCAGGTGCGTTGACGGTCTATTATAAAGGAGTAAGCTCTTTTTCTTGAAGGTCCCTATGTCGGTTCGGAAAAATCGCCGGTGGTAAATTATTCCAAAGAAAGGTCGTACAGTTATGGACCGCCAAGCATCCAGATAGTGTTGATGGTATCGAAAGTTTTGACGCGATGTGTGCTCCTGAAATTTGGCGGCTGGAATTAATCCGAACAATTCCCAGTCATGTCAATCGTTTGATCCGGAACGTTCAAAAAATGTAATTGTATTAATCAATATTTTGATGCGACCCGGGTCAAATGAACGGATCGTTCACGATTGACACATGTCTACTGGCTGGAATTGTATCTGTGAGGTCATTATTATTTTGTTGGTTACTGTGAGCACCTGTTACAAACGTTATGAAATTGCAGAAGCACATTAGCGAGGAGTCCATGGAGAGACAGAAGCTGTCCGTACACGTGGTGTCCACAGCGGTGGGGGGTGCGGGCACTGTGGGGAATGCAGAGAGTGGGAGGGAGAGTCCAAGGGATGATACGCATGGGACACAGCCGCGAGGCCAGGTAACCATTTCTGAAATACTTTTGTATAATATTGTTAGTGTATTTGACAGTTCTAAACACGGTTGCAGTGTCAAAGGTCGCGGGTTCGTATCCCGTACAAAAAAGTGTTTGTATGTCATCTACTACAACTACTTTAAAAATTTACTTTATTTATGTTACATTTTTTTTAATACGCTTAAGGCATGCACAATTTGATTTACCAATAGTTTTTGTTATCTTATTGTCATATAACAAAATTCCATTACTCTTAATGTCAGAGCATAGAATAGTTAATTCGGTCGGGTTCGAATCCCGCACGGAACAAGTATTTGTATGGCCTACAAATAATTGTTCCGGGTCTGGAGGTTTGTTCTCATGCAATTTATGTATGTAAACTGCCTCCACGGTACAGGAGAAAATCCTGGTGTGGAGGTAAGATTTAAAAAAAAACTACAGCAAACCCCATTTTCTATGCATAATTATCTACACGAGCTGTACGAAGATTTGTTATGAATGCGTTGTCATGGGCCAGTGTTTGCAACACCTTGACACTGAAAAGAGACAAACATCTATGGGATTTAACTTGCGAGAGAGTGAGATAGAATACAATATACAATGTTCCTATTATCTCGATCTAACTTGTAGTCTGTATAATATGATAATGTAATGTATTTATGTAGAATAAAATGTAAACATATATAACCGACTTCAAAAAAGGAGCAGGTACTCAATTCGAGTATATTTTTTCCATGTGTGTTACTTCAGAACTTTTTTGGATGAACCGTTTTAGATGATTTTATTTGAAATCGGGTGCATAGAATTATTACGCATAGAAACGCAGTCCAGTACAAAACACGAGCGTTAAAATGATGCAAAGTCATTATGTTAGTGGGCGCGAGTCGAATGTGCCTATGCTCGTCACACGCACACATACACGCCATTCAGTGATACCAGTGTCTGGCGTTTGCAATCAAATTGTACAAATCACTATTTTTTGATTAATTTTAAAAAATCGATATAATAAAGATTACGTATTACGTACGAAGATGTATTTTATGAGAATATAAAATGGAATAAAATAAACACGATATCTACGTGGTAGAGCCATGCTGGTTGTAGCACGAATGGGTCGGCTCGACCGGGGAAGGGGACCACGCTCTCACAGAAAACCAGCGTAAAATAGCAGCTTAACGCTGCTGTGTTTCGTATGGTGAGTGTAGAGAACCGGAGACCCTTTTTACTGGCAAAGAGGCATTCCATCTTAGTCCTTACGTGTGACAACGCATCTGCATCTTGAGTCTTTATTGAGGATAGATGTAGATGTCTATGGGTCACAGTAACCACTTACCATCAGGTGGACTGTGCGCTCGTTTGTCAGATGTCTCCCCCATAGATAACCTTGTCACTCATTCATTTATGTGCCATAGTTGCCACGCTCGGCAGGTGCTGCCCATCTCCTTTTTCCCTCTGTCGCCTCTTACGACTCCCATGGGACGAAATGGGGACGTGGATATCTCTAATATATAAAAATCAATTACGGTCCGTTAGTCTCGCTAAAACTGCTAAACTGGCTCTACCGATTCTGGTGAAATTTTTCGTGTGTATTTGAGTGGGTCCCTAGGATGGTTTAGATTCACAATTGGACCCTGTAGGTGGCGTTGTTGCCATAAATTAATAACCCGTGTGAAGCCGGAGCGGATCGCTCGTATTCTTATATAGCTGTATAAATTTATAATACTTGTAAAACTATTTGTGTCATTCTTATTTTAAATCACACATAAATAAGTATACAATGATTAAAAAAAATTCTTTGCAGCCCGTCAAGGTCACAGATCTGTTGGAGTTTAAGTCCAGGAGAAGGCTGTATCCCCACCCCGCCCCCTTCATGAACATACCGAGGAAAGGCGCACATTGTAAACTGTAAACCTATGTACAAATAAATATAGACATATAAAACAAAATATACATTATAAATGATAACCTTAGTGTAGGATTAAAAATGGCGTTTTAGGTTTAGTGCTTACTTAGGTATTTAAAATGATTTTTAACGCCTCGACGAAAACAGATTGACATTATAATTTTGTAGTGTGTGTATCTGTGTGTCTGTCTGTTGCATCAGAGCTCCTAAACAAATGAACAGGTTTCGATTAAGTATTTTTTTCGTTTCAAATGTGTCTTATTCGGGAGTGTTATTAGCTATGTATAAAGAAAATCTGTCCAGCCGTTTGAAGGTCATAAAAGGTCATAGAAGGTTATAGAAAAGGAACTGCTAAAAGCAATTCCTTTGATATAGGCTTTTCTCAGTCAACCACATATAAAACATGGAAGTATTACTGGAAAAGAACTAGGTTGTTTTAATTGGTAGAAGTCCGTTTGGGTGGGTTAACAGTGCTTACACTGCTGTGTTTACACGCTACACGCTGTGTGGCACACCAGGACTAAGTCCCCAGAGGTATCCAGAGAGGACAGGGCGACACGTTATTTTTTTAACTTATTATAAGCCAGTGCTTGACCACAATCCCACCTGGTGGTAAGTGGTGATGCAACCCTAGATGGTAAATCGCACTGTCTTAGCGTAACAAAAGCTTATTCACTCTTGCCTTAGACGTCCAGATTGTATTCGGACGGAAAGATAGACGCCGGCAAATTATTCCACTCTCACTTTCGCCACTTTGTTGTCGATATACACTGGAATATCGACAACAAAGTGGCGAAGACTTGCCGACTGTCTGGTTGTCTAGCAGTGGAAAAGAGAGGGACGAATGTAAGCGTGTAATTCCTGCGCACACTCACCGAAATGCATCCTATAGAATACTGACAGACTGGCTACTCTGCGCCTGTGCTCGAGGCTGACAAGGTTGGTTTCAAATCTCCAAAAAAGCACCAAAGCATCATTAGCTATCTTTGTTAGAAGCTGACTGCAGGTGTCCACGGACAGCAGTAGCCACTTACCATCAGGTGTACTGTCAATTCATTTGTAGTTCGAGGTCGGGGTTTCAATTGTTCTGTACGTCTTATCACCGACTTTAGAAACTATGTGTAAATTACTACGCAATTCAAATAAGTATACGACTTACCTGGCGCCATATTGTGACGTCATAGCTGTCAACTCAAACCTGTTAGGTGGTGTGAGCAAAACAGGAAACATTATTAACATGAAAGAAAAAGTTTTAACCGGAATCTAGCACTTTAATCCCGCTCATATCTGCTTGCATCACTGTCTGAGTAGTCATCATCATCATCACTGCTGCTTTCCTTTATAAAAATAGAATATGAATTTATGTAAGTAATTAAAGATATTTCCCCGACTAGTTTCAATATTTTTAAATTAATTTATAAAATAATTATGAGTTCAAAGGATTTTGTTATAATTACTAACTCAGTTAAATAAATATAAAAGTGGAAAATTAATTTTCTTGGCAAGCCGTACTTTTCAAGTGACAGTTGACAGGTCGCGGTCATTCGAAGTCATTGACGTTTCTATTCTTATTTGAATGGCATTGTAATTTATTGTTTTCAGTTCTTTGAAGGCGACTTATACTTTTTATCAAAAGCCTACCGCCTTACTTATAAAATCGACGTCAATTTAACAAATGCTTAAAGTTGCTCTCCTCTCTTTTCAATAAACGTCTATAGAAAAGGACAGATATAGAGATAATTAATACTTAAAATTAAATAGGGCAGTTCATTTTTGCAGAAACGAAGGCTTCCATGTTTTGTTCGTGTGGCTTATGATGTTGTAAATAGAATTTGACTGTTTTGGGAAACTTTAAACTATACATATTGGCTCAAACACTTCTATGTATGCTACTAGGCGGGCAGTTCGGAAAAAAAACTATGTCTCAACCGTGGATAAGCAGCGGGAGGATAGCCGGCGCGGTAACGGTTTTCTGACAAATACAAAGCAAAGCTACATGCTGATGAATTAGAAATATACTTTAAATCACATGAACAAAGTGCTCACGTAAATAATAACACCGTTTTCATAGTAACATCAAACAAAATCAGTGTTAGATTGTCGATAACGACATTCGAGGTTTACAAAACAAAGAAGTAGTCTTCTCGCCCGCTCGCAGTCGACTAAAGAAGTTACGGAGAATTGACCGTAACTTAGTGCGCAATAGTAGAATACATAGAAGTATTTGTATTAACTTAAAAAAAAATGTAACTCATAGAGACAAAATAAAGACATTTTGCAATGAAATTGCACAAATTATAATTTATGTGTAATAGATTCTATAATTTGTAACTTATAGTTGTGGTCGGGCTTACTCCCTTTTACATTTTTAACAGATATTGAAAAGGTTTCAAATTTACCGGTTACGGTATTTAATATTTTTAAATAATACAATAATATTAGAAGAAAATAGTGCTTATGTCTAGTATTTTTCTTCTAGTGTATTAATACAAAAAAAAATATACTACCGATTTTATTGGATGCGAGGCTTTCCATCTTAGTTCTCAGGGGTGACAACGCATCTGCATTTTGATAATTAAGGATAGATGTAGATGTTTATGGGGTACAGCATCCACTTACCATCAGGCGGGCTGTGTGTCCACTTGTCACCCATATTTTATAAAAAAAAAAATACTTGAAGAATAATACACAGTCCACCTGATGGTCCACCTGATGGATGGATGGTGGATGGACACACAGGATCCACCTGGTGGATGTTGTGGCCGATAAACATCTTCATGTATTCAAGTTAAGTTTTTTTATTCGCCTGTTATCAGAAAGATGCTGCTACTTGTTTTTTTTTCCCTTCGTTTCCCTCTGTTGCCTCTTACGACACCCAAGGGATATGGGGTACTGGTATCGGTGCGCAAAAACCGCTGGCGACAGTATATTCCACAGTTTGGTCGTGCGAGGCAGAAAATTCCGCGTGGTGTGCATAAAAGATGGATTAGAAAGAGTTTGTCGTTATTAGAGTACATGAGCTTCTGTACGGACATCTGTTAGTTTTATTTTAGATTTTAAAAACGCCTCCACCGCTCCCGTTAACTTTACTACAAAACAGTACTTATACAAAGCTTGTTAAAAATATTTCATTATTATTGTTCTCTTAATGTTGGTAACATTTATTTTTTAATATGCAATGTTTTTAATCTGCATTTCGTGTTGCGTGCCAATATATTTATTTGTTCATGTTGTTATTAAGATTAAAGTAAAATAAAGTCTTCTATGTGTATGTTGTTTTATTTTTAAACCACTTCAAAAAAAGGAGTTTCTCAGTTTGATCCGTATGTTTGTGTGTATGTATATTTGTCTGCGATTATCTCGCGTTTGACTGAACCGATTATGATGCGGGTTTTCAAAAAAGTATTTGTTACATTCTGTAGAAGATTTTTGTTATACAACACATGGATATCCCGTGACGTCGTCCGCACGGATACGGTTTTAAGCGATATATTAATTCAACTCTGCCGATTTTGTTGATGCGGTTTATTATTACTTAATCCATCATCGTTTTGGACCACTTACAGTTCACTTTTAGGAGAGGCTTAGGCCTTACTAAACGTGTAGTGGCAGTGCAAGGATATCCACAAACCAATATCGTCCCGTGCGTGTCGTTAGAGGCGACAGAGGGAAACAAATAAGGAAATAAAGCAAAGTCTAAAAATAAAACTAACCGAATAACAAGTATGGCAAAATCCCACCTATGATGCAATAGGAGAGGCCTGTGTTCGGCAGTAGACTTCTATAAGCTGTAATTGATGCATTGCAATGGATGCATGAGGAGTTTTGGCGGGAACTTGACCGGCGTCGGATCGCTACTCCTGTGTTATTGTTTAAATAATGCTTTGAAGCGGATTTTGATACGTAAAGTGATACAATTTTGTATATTAAATATCTGCGCTATTATTGGTGGAGGCTGTGAAACAAGTGACCCGATGGTGATGTGAATCTCAAGCTAAGGTGTCTGCATGCTTAGGCGTCTTGAAATACTTTCGCCAACTGTCTGTTTGTTGAAGTTGCCGTCAAAATCTCCCAAAAACTACGCACTGTGACGCATCAACATATTGTGAAGCAGTGTACTATAAAGGATTATTCATCATCATCATCATTACAGCCTTTCATAAGTCCACTGCTGAATATAGGCCTCCCCAAGTAATGCCACAAAGCACGGTCCTGAGCCACCTGCTTCCATCGACTTCTTGCATGTCTTACCAGGTCGTCACTCCATCTCGTGGGGGGGTCGCCCTACACTTCGTCTACCGGTACGAGGCTGCCACTCGAGAACCTTTCTTCCCCATCGGTTGTCGGTTCTTCGAGCTATATGGCCGGGCCACTGCCACTTCAGATTACTAATCCGTTGGGCTATGTCGGTTACTCTGGTTCTACTGCGGATATCCTCATTTCTAAGTTTATCACACAGAGAAACCCCGAGCATAGCTCGCTGAGCGACCTTGAGCTTCCTCATACGGCCAGCAGTGAAGGACCACGTCTCAGATCCGTAAGTCATCACTGGCAACACGCACTGGTTGTACAATTTCATTTTAAGGTTTTGAGGTATGTTTGACGAGAAGATGTGCCGTAATTTCCCGAACGCTGCCCAGCCGAGTTGAATCCGTCGATTGACCTCTCGGTCGAAGTTGGACTTACCTAGTCAGACTATTAATTAATTAAGGATTATTATCACTGATATTGAGATAACTGAATACATGGCTTAAAGGACAAGCATCCAAGGCAAAATCTTAATAAAAAAAATAATGAATGATTCTGTGGCGTGACGTCAGCGCCGCCATATATCCTCCTGTTCAGATCAGAGATAAACGGTGCAGTCTAGTTGTCGACGAATATGTAAGTGCCAGAGATTGCCAACCTTTTAGTCTGCGGTTAGTCGAGAAAAAGGCCAATAATCTGCGAGAGTGGTGGTGGGATGGTCCAAAATGTGTGAAGCGTGGGTTTAGACAAACTGCTGACGCAAAACTAAACAATTATTTTAAAATGCATACACATCACTCCAGATCTATTACGTCACGTTATCAATTCAATACGAGATATTGAAGTAAAAAGAGTTTGTAAATCGCTCATAAATGCAGATTTTCTAAATACCTCGAAATAAGGTGCCAATTTTAGAACCCCTCAGTATTAGGTACATACAATTTGTACCTTTACCTTTCGACCCTCAAACTGTTAACACGTCCTCATAATATAAGTATAATATATTATTTTACATAAATTGTAAAAGTTTATTAAACCAAGTTTTTGTGATAATTCTAAAGATTATCATTTCTTTGTACAATATAGTACAAGGCCTATTTAACAAAAACAATCGTTAAATACAGTTCACAATTGGCGAAAATATGGCGTAAATAATACAAAAAACACACGGTCGAACATAGACCCTTCTGTGTAGCTTAAAATATAGTTAAATAAATATGTAAAATCCAACCTAACAGAAGTCCTCACCAGGTGATACGAAACGGCACAGAATAATGATGAAAAAGATGGCGGCGAACGAAGCTAGCGGTATCGAGAAGCACCGCCTTCTGCATTTTCGTTTACATCCTATCAAAAGTCCGCTGTTGAACCATTGACCTCCGCATAGATTGTCTCATAACATGTTTGCCATAGTTGACATGCTCAATCAGTAGTTTTTTTTAATTTTTTATTGTTAAGAAGACGCTTCTGTCGCTGCTGCTGTTGGTTTGTTTCCTTTTGTCACCTCTTACGACACCCACGGGATGACATGATTTACTTTTGAGTTATTGGAACGAAGTTCCTTATGGGACGGTACGGATTTGGCGGATGGGAGCTAGACGACAAAAAGTCGTCTAGCTCCCATCCGCCAAACACAAGGGATAGTGAGATTTCTTCGTCACTATCCCTTGTGTCATAGTGTAGGCGGCCTTGGCGGCGAAATAAGGAAGTGAGATGGAATAATATTCATCTCCCTCGCACTTTTCTTGCTATGAAAGAAATATATTTTATTTCAAATGACGCTTCATTTTTATAGACGCTAGTAATTCATTTATTTGTATTTGTTAATCAATAATATAATACCTACGTTTATCAATAATAATATACTGCGCAAGGAACTTCGTTCCAACCGAGTGTTACACGACACTCACGCATTTTTTTAAATCAAACTAAACCATCTAAGTAGATTTGTATACAAGTTACAGGTCTGTTTAACCTGTTTGTATTTAAAAAAAAAACGTCTCGTTATTTATAAAAATATATTATATAAACAAAATCAGTTATTACAGGTATGTCGAAAATACAACAGGTAATTAACACGAAGAGTTCCCACGTCTGATCTCGGAAATACAACACCAGCCATGGTTATATGTTAAAAATAATAAAAGTGTGCGAGCGGATGTTCAACTTGCTCTCTCGCTTACGCAATTAATCATTATTATCAATAATAAGACAGCGTAACGCACTATATATTCAGTATAGAACAATTACAGATCAACCATACCGTAATATTATGTCCCCGTTACAATTACACACTGGTGTAACGTGAAGGACACAATTACATGATAACACCAAAGTATACAAACCAACAGCAACACCACCCATATCTACGTAACACTGGGCAGCCTCTCAACAACACCATCCTCCTTGCCTGCACCAGAAGAACTACCACTATGGACAGAGCTATGTCATTCTCTTGGCACTCGTACAATGACTTAAGCGGAATCTCCCGCGCTCGGCACCTCCACCCGATCTACCCTCAATTCTACCCAGCCACCATCGATATGACCACAGATAATATACTATATAGGGCATAGATGAGCCACTCTGACAAATTATTAGGTGACGAAACGAGGGAAGTTTCTTCTACGCTTTTATAGATGGCGTTGGGATTATAAATTACTGAAAATTACACTAGAGGGCGCTATCAACTAGGTTTAGTATTATTTCGTACATATTTCAATAGATAAAGAGAAATTATTCATTAACTAACTAATTTGTTTTAAATAACTTTGATATGATGCTACGCTAGAGTGACGTAACCTCTCGATCCATCCGGTATTTTATACGCACCTACAGGTAAATTAATTATTGTTTACATGTGATGAGGTCATCTTGAGGCCTGGCCAAGAGGAAAAAACAGATAAATTGCAACGCGGTACAATGCTTGCCGAAAAAACATATTGATAAAGTTAAAGTTACAGCCTACATACGTCCCACTGCTGGGCACAGGCCTCCTCTCATTTGTGAGAAGGTTTTAGGGCAAGGAAGTGTCCGCCACGCTGCCCCAATGCGTGTTAACGAACTTCACGTGTCTTTGAAATATTTTATAAAGCAGGTTTCCTCACGGTATTTTCCTTCACTGACGAGCGATTTACTATGTGTAAATCAGCACTTGATTTTACATTTAAAAATTTCATTGGTGCCAGCGATGATCGAACCTGGGTTTCTGGCAAATTGCGCCTAGCCACTGAGCCCTACTACAGCTCTTGTGGATAAAGCGGTTGGATGTAGCAAGCGTACTTTTTACGGGATAGGAAGCATTTCCATCTTAGTCCTTAGGGATGACAAAGCAACTGCATTTTGATAATTTTCTTAACCGAAGAAAGATGTAGACTTCAATGGCCCACAGTATCCACTTGCCATCAGGTGGACTGAGTGTTCATTTGTCACTCTTATTCTATAAAAAAATGTCGCCTTTTATGACACCCACGGCATGCAATTCATCATCATCATCATTACACCCCTTCACAAGTCCACTGCTGAACATAGGCCTCCACCAAGGAATGCCACAAAACACGGATCTGAGCCACCTGCATCGATCGACTTCCTGCATGTCTTACCAGGTCGTCACTCCATGTAGTGGGGGGTCGACCTACACTTCGCCTATCAGTACGAGGCTGCCACTCAAGAACCTTTTTTCTCCATCGGTTGTCTGTTTTTCGAGCTATATGACCAGCCCATTACCATTTCAGCTTATTAATCCCTTGAGCTATGTCGGTCATTCCAGTTCTACTGCGGATATCCTCATTTCTGAGTTTATCACGTAGAGAAACCCCGAGCATAGCCCTCTCCATAGCTCGCTGAGCAACCTTGAGTGTCCTCATACGGCCAGCAGTGAAGGACCACGTCTCAAATCCATAAGTCATCACTGGGAACATGCGCTGGTTGTACAATCTGATGATGATGATGATGATAGTCAATTACACTAGTTTAGGGTACGGGTTAAATTATAAACTTATGACCCTGAACGTGGAGGGGACGCGCACGAATTGAATTACACGAATCGGACTGGAGAGCCAATCAGTGAGTGCAAACGATGGGCACGGACCAATCAGAGCGACTTATGATAAATGACGGTCACCGCTAGACTTTCGTGCCGCTATTTATAACATGGGGAGATAGTGATTTAGTCTTTGGTTCTTTGGATCTTTGATAGTAAGCGTGCGTATACAGACGCGCTAGGACGTACATTGATCTAATTATTAACTTCTTATGCATTTTCGACATAGCTTAATAACATATTAAGTTGCCTTAAAAATAATCTTAAAAGTACTTTCGGTATGATGTTATAAAAACATTATATTTTTGTTTAATATTTTAATTCTGAATCTTTTAATACTGATAATACTTTGTTATTGAACAATGTCCGGAGGAAATGTTGTTGTTTTTTTAATTTGTTATATCGTGCTCGCCAAGACTCAGTACGAAGGTAAGTCAAAAATATTTAAACATTTAAAAATATTTAGTTTTTAACTTTCCGCTTTCAAAATAAATAATTTTCAAAAGTAAGAAGTTATAGATATCGGTTCGATTTTGAGAATGCGAGTTTTCATCAGATCTCCACGTTTTGAGGTCCTAGGAAGCCGTTCCGGCATTTCCCGGCTGGACGTCCGGCCGTGTGTGTTTATGTGTGTGTGTGTGTGTACGTATGCACGTAGGTAAACAAAATTTTGTTGTACGATATCTTTAGAACGAATCAACCAATCGAGATGGCTGGACACGGCGTTCAAGTGTTCATTGAGACTTCGAACTGATTAGATTTTCAAGTCAATCGGTCGAGCCGTTTCAAAGGTTTACAAAAAATAATAACCAAAAAACAAAAATCTTCGCGAGCTTTCCGCTCGCAAATTAGCACCGTTTCTCAAATTTTCTACCGACTTCAAAAAGGAGACGGTACTCAATTCGACTGTATGTTTATGTTTTCTTTTTTTTTGTGTTACCTCATAACTTTTTTCCGGGTGAACCGATGTCGATCATTCTTTTTTATTTGAAAGCTGGTGATTCACATATGGTCCCATATAAATTTGATCAAGATCTGACTAATAGTTTTTGAGTTATCCTTAATAATACATATTGAAGTCGGTTGTACAATTTTTTTAATTTTAAATTGTTTTTAAATATAAAACTGAATTGACAAACGTACTTACGAGTCTCATTAAGGGGCTACTGCACTCCATGGACACTTGTGACTAACTTCAAACAAAGAAGACTAAGGACGCGTTGTCACCTCTGAGGACTAAGTCATAGTTAACGAAGACTGCCTTCAACTTTTGAATATTAATCTTTGGTCTGATCTACGCAGAAAGACCTTACAGTATCTTGAAGTCTTGCAGTTTGCTTGCGTTTGGATTTAATTTTAATTATAGCATCCCGAGCAGATGGTAGCACCCATCCATATTCTCTATTGAAATCAAGACGGTTTTTGGTTTCAATCAAGGAAAATTCGCGAATCATCCTTGGTAGGAATCGGCGTTCTTTTGCGAGGATTTGTGACACTCTCAATTAGGTACTTAATTCCATAAAGAAAAATCAATTATTTTTATTCAAATTTGCTTTTATTAAACAGTTTTTTTTCTACGTGGTAGAGCCATGCTGCAGCTATATTATGGTTGTAGCACGAATGGGTCGACTCGACCGGGGAAGGACCACGCTCTCACAGAAAACCTGCGTAAAATAGCAGCTTAACGCTGCTGTGTTTCGTATGGTGAGTGTAGAGAACCGGAGGCCCTGTTTACTGGCAAAGAGGCATTCCATCTTAGTCCTCACGGGTGACAACGCATTTGCATCTTGAGTCTTTATTGAGGATAGATGTAGATGTCTACGGGTCACAGTAACCACTTACCATCAGGTGGACTGTGTGCTCGTCTGTCACCCAATCCTATAAAAAAAAAGGACAATAGCTATAATATTATATAATAAGTATCCTTTGTCGTATTCCACGACAAACGAACTTCTATGCCAAATTTCGTTGAAATCTCTTCAACCGTTTTAGCTTAATAAAATGACGAACACACAGACAAATTTAATATTAATAAGGTTCCTTCTTTGATTGCCTGTAGAAGTCCACTGCTGGACATGGATCTCTATCTTAATTTTAAGCGGGTGTTGTAAGAGGGAGAAATATCACAAAGATGTCATGGTTTCCAGTAGCGGCGATATACGATCTCATATACCGATATTTTTTTTATAGAATAAGGGTAATGTTTATCCCCTCGCTTAGTTTTATCCACCCTTCGAGCATGGACACACCGGTGGATATAATATCCACAGTAGATAAAATGGGCGATAGACTTAGATAGATTTTTTGTATGAATATAAACTTAAACCCACGTCCAATGAACTACGATATAATTTTCCCTTTCAAATGTCAAAAAAGCATAATTTTTTATTTTTAATTTTTGGCTGAATGCTATGTCAAACGTGGATATACTTCTCCCCGTTGCCGTGCTTTGGCATAAGGACAAGATAATTTTATCCCTTGTCAGAGGATATAATCGGGGAGGGATAAATTTTTTGTCTCCAGCTCATGCTAGCCTTGCCGGTGGTAAAGCGTATGCTGTGGCCCATAGATATCTGCATTTATCCGTCTGGATTATGAGTCAAAATGCAGATTTTTTTTAATAGATTAGGATGACAAACGAGCACACAGTCCACCTGACGGTAAGTGGTTGCTGTGGCCCATAGACATCTACATCTATCCTCGCGTGCGAATCAAAATGCAGATGCGTTGTCACCCATGAGGACTAAGATAGAATGCCTCTTTCCCAGTAAAAAGGGTCTCCGGTTCTCTACACTCACCATACGAAACACAGCAGTGTTAAGCTTCTACTTTACGCTGGTATTCTGTGAGAGCGTGGTCCTTCCCCGGACGAGCCGACCCATTCGAGCTACAACTATACTATTAATATAGCTGCAGCATGGCTCTACCACGTGAAAAGTAGATGTCCATAGGCCATAGCATCTACTTACCATCAGGTGGACTTTGTGCACGTTTGTCACCCATATTCTATAAAAAATGTGAGTATATATAACACTATTCACTATCTACTATGAATATATTATATATTCAGAATCATATTTTTAATACCCATGTTATAGTAGGATATCGCGTCATTGGTCTAGTGCTAGTTCGAATCCCGAGTCGCGCCGAAATCATTTATTATTATTAATCAGATCTTTCTATCAAGAATACACTGTCCGAGGCACAGGGGCAAAACCGTTCGAGCCTGCGGCTAATCTTTTTCCGGTTGCATTGCATTGCCGTCCTTTCGGACTATGAGAGTGAGGCAATACAGAGTGCACAGCTTGTGCTTGTGCACACACTCGTGCTCCATAATTAGGAATACGCAAGGGAAAAAATATATCGATATATATCGAATCGATATTTTTAATCAGTATTGATATATTTCGCGTGATAAATATGGATATATCGTCATCATTTGCATGATGCAAAGATAACGTCCAAAATTTTATATTACTGCCGGTAGGACGACGAAAAAAAAAAACAAACCACAACCAACCACATATGAATACTTTTGTAGCTCCTTTTGTTGTTACATGTTTTGTCATTAATACAACATTTTAAAATATATCGAAATTGATACGAATTCGATACTCTAAAATTAATATCGATATATCGCGATTTAAAATATAGGAGATATATATCGATATTTTAATTAAATTATATCGATATTTCGATATATCGATATTTTTTGCCCAAGCCTAACTATAATCCTAACCGGCGTGACCGCAATTCGGACTGAAGGACATCATTATCTTTTCTGCTTTTCGTTTATTAAACGAGTTATTTCCCTGGGAGTGTTCACGATTCACAAACAGTTTTTTTAGTTGCAGAATGACACTATCACGTATTCTAAATATTCAAGTTTTTAAACAAGTTTTTTGTCGAATTGTTTTTTAATATGAAATTAATGCTAAGCTCTCGTAACAAGGTAAAATATTTTTTATTTACGAGCTTTTGTATGTTTTCAAATATAATTGAGGAAAATTATTGCAAAAACGTAATATTAGAGTCATAAATCTATGAAGTTACTTTTTTGATACTGGCTGGTTTTGAAGCTAATATATTACACTTGACTTGGCATTTAAAATTTAAATTAATATCACATATTATTCTTTTAAATAACAGGAACTTGACCGGTGGCGGATTGCTACTCCCGTATTATTGTTTAAATAATGGCATTAGAACTATTAGTAGAAATGCCGAAAAAAGTGATCCAATTGTGATGTGAACCTTTGGGGTTTTTGTTTTTTTGACGATAGACGTTTTGAGATACATAGGCAGCTCAAGCTGCCGTAAAAATCTCCCAAAATCTACACAATGTAACGCATCAACATATTGTATATTAGTTTTTCTAACATAATATTATGCAGGATAAATTCATAATACTAGACACTGGCAAAAGTATAAATTTACGAGTCCATTACCAAGAAAACAAAAAGCACGATATTAGCCGCGAAAAAAATGTTCCATTCTTTTCCCGTCGTTAACGTGAAAAAACATTTCTAATAAAGTATTTATCGATTCATGTCACTAGGATTTCTATAGCAAAGTCATCGATTAACCATCCAGCGCCATTTTTATGTGATAGCTTTCACGTCGACATAAGGGCATATCGGTAATAATGCCGATACTTATTATACTCGATACACACGATCAGTTAAACTGATCAGTTGAACTGACTTACATTCAAAAAGTGACAGTGAGTGTGAAATCTTAAGTTGAAATTTTTAACTGACGGCAACGCAAATTTTTTTCCGGCCGCACGATCAGTTAAACTGATCAGTTCACAGTTAAACTGATCAGTTGTACGTCAGGACGTACATCCAAAAACTGACATTGAGTGTGAAATCTTAAGTTGAAATTTGTGACTGACGGCAACACACACATTTTTCCGGGCGCATGGTCAGTTAAACTGATCAGTTGAACTGACGTACTTACATTCAAAAAACGATCGAGAAATGAAGGCCGGCTTGAAGCCAGTGAGTGGGGAAATCATTTTGACTTACATCCATTTTAATTGATCAGTTAAAAACTTTAGTTCAACTGATCAGTTTAACTGACCGTGTGTATAGAACTTTAGGTTAACTAGGTAATTTAGGTTAGGTGGCTATGTACAGCCAACTAGGTATGCGGTGTAAAAAAAATCATTACCACACTTCATCTCGCAACTTTGGGAATTGCCAGAGAAATGTTTGCCGGTCTTTTAAAGAAGGAGGTTAACTTAAAAACTCAAAATACAACTTTCATAAAGTAACGATACAGCCTACATACGTCCTACTGATGGGCACTGGCCTCACCTCATTTCTGAGAGGGTTTTCACGGAAGTGTCCACCATGCTGCCCTAATACCACTTTGCAGACTTCACATATCTGAGATTCTTTTAAAATCTCGAATATACAGGTTTCATGACGATGGTTTCCTTCACCACAGAGCACGTGGTAAATGAACACTTAAAACTAAAATTAAACATTTTAATAGTGCTGTCATTGATTGAGCCTTCGGCTCGGCTTAACAGTGGTAGAGCCACGCGGCAGCTTTTGCTGTCGCACGCATGGGCCGGCTCGAACCGGGGTAGTACCACGACCTCACAGAAAACCAGCGTGAAGTAGAGGTTTACCTCTGCGTTTCGCTTGGTGAGTGCAGGTGGCCGGAGGCCCTTTTTACTGGAAATGAGGCATTCCATCTTAATCCTCACGGGTGACAACGCATCTACATTTTGATTTGTAATAGAGGATAGATGTAGATGTGTATGGGCCGCAGCAACCACTTACCATCAGGTGGACTGTGTGCTCGTTTGTCACCCTTATCCTATAAAAAAAAACCTGACGAAAATTACTGTAATCTTAATTTACTAACATACAACCTAAAATTTTTCTATGTTTAGGGTAAGGGCCGAGGCATTATATTGTTATTTATAGACAAACCGGACTTTGCCCAGTTTCAATACAAAGCCGTGTTTTTTTTTAATACCATGTTTTTATCATTAAATAGCGAAATTAACTTCTAGAGTGCTTAGAAAAACGATAGTACTTCAGAGTGCGTACTGCAAACTTAGAAAGTCTTGGGTTCGAATCCTCCATTCCGCTGCTATCGCATAGCAATCTAAAACAAGCAAATGCAAATAGCGTAACTAACATTCTTAAGAATGCGCTGCTTGCTTTTCTTGTGTTGTTCCCACCATTTTTATTCTCCTCTCTTTTTAGTTCCCGCTGACGTCATAAGTTGTTTGTTGATTCGACATAATTTGACATTAAAATAAAACGTGTGTGTACTAATGTACGCACGTACCAAGTTATACTACTTTAGCGTAACAAAACAAATGTAACTAAAATAAAACACGTTTTATAGATTCATATATATTTGAATAACTACGTTGAATTTAGTTATCAGTTCTCACGAAAACGTGACAGTTGACAGACAATTACCAACTGAAGTTGTCGCTTTTAGGTTTCGGTGTGCGCGCGCATCGGAATAACTTCATGGTGTCGTTTTTAGGTGTCGGTGTGCACGCGCATCGTAACAACTTCACGGTGTCGTTTTTAGGTGTCGGTGTGCACGCGCATCGTAACAACTTCACGGTGTCGTTTTTAGGTGTCGGTGTACACGCGCATCGTAACAACTTCATGGTGTCGTTTTTAGGTGTCGGTGTACACGCGCATCGGAACAACTTCACGGTGTCGTTTTTAGGTGTCGGTGTGCGCGCGCATCGTAACAACTTCACGGTGTCGTTTTTAGGTGTCGATGTGCGCGAGCATCGTAACAACTTCACGGTGTCGTTTTTAGGTGTCGGTGTGCACGCGCATCGTAACAACTTCACGGTGTCGTTTTTAGGTGTCGGTGTGCACGCGCATCGTAACAACTTCACGGTGTCGTTTTTAGGTGTCGGTGTGCACGCGCATCGTAACAACTTCACGGTGTCGTTTTTAGGTGTCGGTATGCGCGCGCATCGTTAAAATTCACTCATTATTTTTTGCAAACGCACCAAAAGAAGTATAACTTCAACACTACTATCTAATCACACAGTAATGATACACATTAAAGTTATTATAATATTCAAAGTATAATAAAATCTATTTATATCGAATGTCTATTGGTAGTGTAAGAATATTCTCTACCTCATATCGTTCCGTGGGTGTCGTAAGAGGCGACAGAAGGAAACAAACCAAGGAGATTTAACTCTGGTGGACTTAACAGTGGTAGAGCCACGCGGCAGCTTTTGCTGTCGCACGGATGGGCCGGCTCGAACCGGGGTGGTACCACGACCTCACAGAAAACCAGCGTGAAGTAGAGGTTTACCTCTGCGTTTCGCTTGGTGAGTGCAGGTGGCCGGAGGCCCTTTTTACTGGAAATGAGGCATTCCATCTTAGTCCTCACGGGTGACAATGCATCTACATTTTGATTTGTAACAGAGGATAGATGTAGATGTCTATGGTCCGCAGCAACCACTTACCATCAGGTGGACTGTCTGCTCGTTTGTCACCCTTATCCTATAAAAAAAAAGATGAGCGATCTTAGTCCTCACGGGTGACGACGCATCTGCATTTTGATTCTTTATTGAGGATAGATGTAGATGTCTATGGGTCACAGCAACCACTTACCATCAGGTGCTCGTTTGTCACCCTATCCTATAAAAAAATATAATAGCATATTTAAATTTAGGTGACGGTTGCCGAAAAAATGGTGTAGATGGCACCTGCGTGCTTCTGAACAACTGCCAGTCAGCGATTAACGGTGTCAAGAATAAACTACCTCCGCAGGTAAGTGATCATAAATCATATTTTAAATTGTTTTTGACTGCCGGACTAGTGGTCGAAACCGTAATCGAATCCCGGATTGAAACAAAATCAGTTATTATCAAAATAAGTTTTTCTGTATAGAAATAATCAGTAGCTGCCCGGAGTCAGGAAGTTGTCGGTGTCCCACCCCCGTGCCTCGGAAAGCACGTAAAGCCGTTGCTCCTGCGCCTGATCTCTCTCCGGCCGTATATTACCGTCCCATTGGACTACGAGAGCGAGGCAATAGAGAGTGCACCTGTGCTTGTGCACACACTCGTGCACTATAATCCTGTCCAGTGCAGATGGTTAGTCTCCGTTGAGACTGGCCGCCGTGACCTGAATTCGGTCTGGAGCACATTATTACTCTTTTACAATTTTTACTATTTATCACATTACGTCAATGACCAACAGTTGATATATTTAAAGGAGGGGGAAGTTTAACCATTGTATCAAAGTTTGGGAAGATGATTGGAGACATTTATCCGAATAAGGTTTTTAAAAATTTCTGAATTTTTGTTGATAAACAATTGAGAAATTGTTCGAGTTCACGTATAAATACTCCAAAATTAAATTAAGTTATTAATAAATGTCTAGGTCCTCTCTTTTTATTTCCATAGAATAAGGTGACAAACGAGCACACAGTCCACCTGATGGTAAGTGGTTGCTGTGATTCATATACATCTACATTTATCCTCAATAAAGAATCAAAATGCAGATGCGTTGTCACCCGTGAGGACTAAGATGGTATGCCTCTTTTCCAGTAAAATGGGTCTCCGGTTCTCTTACACTTACCACACACTACCATACGAAACACAGCAGTGTCAAGTTGCCATTTTACGCTGGTATTCTGTGAGAGCGTGGTCCTTCTCCGATCGAGCCGACCCATTCGTGCTACAACTATACTACTAATACAGCTGCAGCGTGGCTCTACCACGTATAAAATCTCTTTTGCCTGGTAGCCCATCTGAATTGGTAACAATCTTCTAACCCGCTAAGCTGCAATGCATTGGAAAGGTTAGTAGACTAGGATGATTGCAGCTTGTGAGGTGTTTTCAATGGTGGATTGTCCTTAATGGGAACTAGGCACGTGTCGAGTGGCGCGATGTTAAAAAAGGGTCGCGCGCGGAAGTTTTAAAGGAAAAAGATTCGAATATTTGATGACTCCAAAATCGTCCACACTCTCTTATCACATTTTCCATACACTCCCACCTGTTAACCCTCGTGTTCTAATTATTTTGCAACTATTAAATTATATTACAAATTATAACATAGTTTATTTGCAAAATGAGTATTATAATTTGTAATTTAAAGTCGCTAGAGTGGCGCCAATGAGATGAGCCTAGGGTGCTGTCGACATTAAAACCGCCAAATGGTATTTTGCCTTTGTTAGAAATTGGTTGCAGGTTTTCATGGGCCACCTATAGTCCAGTTTATTGATTTTATTACTGCTTATGTAAGTTAAAATAAAATCCAATAGTTTTAAACAATTATAATTTATACACAAGTCTTTCACAACAACACAGAAGTGGTAGAGCCATGCTGCAGCTATATTACTAGTAGCACGAATGGGTCAATGAGGCAATCTATGAGGGAGGCCTATGTTCAGCAGTGGACTTTAATAGACTGTAATGGATGGATGTATTGAAGGGAATCTACCAGGAGCACATGATCCACTGAGAGGTGAAATTTTCAAATCAACAGTAACATTACAACTAAGGCAAATATCCCCCAATGAGGATATCCATGGGGGTGGCAATCTATGTTCAGCAGTGGACTTTAATAGGCTCTATTAGGATGACGGTAATTTATATATGTAAACTCAACGATACAGGGTAAAATCCAAGTGAGTAGGCTTTTTTTATAGGATAAGGTGACAAACGAGCACACAGTTCACATGATGGTAAGTGGTTGCTGTGGCCCATAGACATCTACATCTATCCTTGTTTGCGAATGAAAATGAAGATGCGTTGTCAAAAAGGGTCTCCGGTTCTCTACACTTACCATACGAAACACAACAGTGTTAAGCTGCTATTTTACGCTGGTATTCTGTGAGATCGTGGTCCTTCCCCGGTCGAGCCGACCCATTCGTGCTACAACTATACTCCTAATATAGCTGCAGCATGGCTCTACCACGTATAAACGTTTAAGAGAAAAAACAACGCAAAAATTGTCATGTGATCTACTTACAGACTGATGCAAAGTAGACAGAGATAATGATTCAAGTCAAAGCATTTTATACTCCACTAGCGATGCTCTCCAGCTTCGCACGCTTAATTTCTGGATCTCGACAACAACGCCACCTACCGAAACAACTTATCACACACACACAAAATTTCATCAAAATCCCTCCAGCCGTTTATGAGCAGTTCAGTCACATACACAAGGGCAGAAAAATTACAAGCGTTGCAGTCGTCCATGGGCGGCGGTAAAAACTATATGTATATGAGCTGTTGTCAGTGATATCTTCTAGTAAGTCCTTTAAATTTTATAGATATGCACGTTCCGAGGTACGGACCCGATAGTATGCTGTGTTGATTCTGCACCACCCGAACCCCCGGGAACCACTCTCAGACCACCTGCGCTCACAAATTCTACTCAAAGGTACCACATGATTTATACTTTTTTTCTGGTCGTGTTTAAGTAAATTGCCAAGCACATAAACACTACTGTGTACCGGTCAGGCTTTCCACCTTAGTCCTCAGAGGTGACAAATGGCATCACATCTGTAGCCTTGAAGTCGGTTGCAGGTGTCCATGGCCTGCAGGCTTGCAGGTAGACACTTACCGTCAGTTGGTATTTAAGTTCGTCTGTCACTTCAGTTTTAAAAGAAAAATAACAAAGGTGTGCACTAAAGTTGATATACGAGGTAGAGCCATGCTGCAGCTGTATTGTGGTTGTAGCACGAATGGATCGGCTCGACCGGGGAAGGACCACGCTCTCACAGAATACCAGCGTGTAAGAGCAGCTTAATATTGCTCTGTTTTTTATGGTGTGTGTAGAGAACCGGAGACCTCTTTTACTGGTAAAGAGGCATTCCTATCTCAGTCCTTACGGCTGATAAAGCATCTGCATTTTGATTCTTAATCGAGGATAGATGTAGATGTCTATGGGCCACAGCAACCACTTACCACCAGGTGGACTGTGTGTTCGTTTGTCACCTGTATTCTTTAGAAAAAAACCGGCCAAGTGCGAGTCGGACTCGCGCACCGAGATGTAACTAAAAATTTATGCTTTTCGCAATGTTTCCTTTATCTGTGCTATAAATACGTTGCTTCGTACCAAATTTTAAGATTCTGAGTTCACGAGAAGTACCCTGTAGGTTTTGATTCCCTTGCGAATGGCGAAAATTTGCGGCATAAACAGCTGTACTCGTATCTTTTGATTGCGTTGGCTTAGAAGTTTTATTTTTTCACAATTCCAAGGAAAAGTAGACTTGAGTATTTGATAGAAATGTCAGCTTGATACCCCCACGCGTTCCTGAGAAAAAGGGTCTTGTCAGACAGACAGACGGACAACAAAGTGATGCTATAAGGGTTCCGTTTTTTCCCTTTGAGATACGGAACCCTAAAAATGGAACTTATGAAGTGATGTAGTGGTGACGATAATGGCTGCAGCCATCATTTTCTGAAAAAAAAGACTGCATCGTATGTAACGTCCTTGAACAACATAAAAGAGTCAAACGGGCTTACACCTATTAGCCCACTTGATGGTAAGTGGCTATTGCAGTCCATGCAACTAATTTCAAATAACTACAAATGGCTACAGATGGGTTATCACCTCTGAGAACTAAGATGACATTTTTTTTATAGAATTAGGATGACAAACGAGCACACAGTCCACTTGACTAGTTAGTTGCTTTGGCCCAAACACATCTACATCTATCCTCGTTGGCGAATTAAAATGCAGATGCGTTGTCAGCCCTGAGGACTAAGATGGAATGCCTCTTTTCCAGTAAAAAAGGGTCTCCGTTTCTCTACACTCACCATACGACACACTGCAGCGTTAAGCTGCTATTTTACGCTGGTATCTATTCTGAAAGCGTGGTCCTTCCCCGGTCGAGCCGACCCATTCGTGCTACAACTATACTATTAATATAACTGCAGTATGGCTCTACCACGTATAAAACCTCACATACATACCTCACATACCTCACAGTCTAATTAAACTGGCTCTCAATATTGTTCCATACCTTTTAGACCGGGACGTACACGAATGGCAGAAATAGGTAAGAGGATACCAACTAAAATGAAATCTGGAGAGAAATAATCATCTTCAAACCATTTTCAATATTCTGATACTTGGCAATATGCCAGTTCAGTGGGCAAGTCACTTCAGGTGATCCTCGCAAGAAGTCAATGAGGGCATTCACGAATTTTTGGCCACCAGGGCGGCGCCACTAAAGCGTGAGGTAAAATACTTGACAGCTTTCATAACGGGGGAAGTTAATTTGCTGGAAAACTGTAGGGATTAATGTTTTTTTCTGTAATATTAGTTATATTTTATGTTAATTGGATTAGAAATGCATAAATCAAACCATGGATATAAATAAAAGTAGAAGAATTGACAAAAAAAAAGTTTGAAATGTGTAGAAAATTAGGGAATACAACAATGCGGCATTGTTTTTGTATTAATATAACTCTCTAGAAACTGAGACATTTTTGATTTAAACTAACTTCTCAGTTAAATGACATTATGTAATAAAAAAAATCACTTAATGATTTCTTATATTTACGCGAAGACTAAACATTAAATGAAACTAATTTTTACGGATTTTATCGCATTTAATTTAACTTTTTAATTCCCGACGTTTCAGGTGCTTTACAGCACCCGTGACCACGGGTGAATTAAAAAGTTAAAATAAACGCGATTAAATACGTAAAAATTCGTTTTATTTAATTAAAAAAATGACTTCAGTCCCAGCTAGCGACATCTGATGAGCGTAAAATTATTAGCCTTCAATACTGTCCAATATTTTTTTAGGCCAAAGACCACCACGGAAGACGTAATACCGGTATATAACTACATGTTCGTCGACCCCAACATGAAATCTCAAGGTGGATGTGAACCTGTTCCGGCAAATTTAACCTCGCCTAGAACTGGTCAGAAGCCATGGGATAGTAAGGTTTTTTTTTAATTTTGTTTTCATAGAATAAGGATGGCAAACGAGCACACAGGTCTAGCTGATGGTGATTGAATGCTATAACCTATAAACGTTTACACCTTTGAATCACACTGCAGATGCGTTGTCACCCGTGAGGACTAAGATGGAATGCCTCTTTGCCAGTAAAAAGGGTCTCCGTTCCTCTACACTTACCATAGGAAACACAGCAGTATTGAGCTGCTATTTCACGCTGGTATTCTGTGAGAGTGGTCCTTTCCCGGTCGAGCCGACCCATTCGAGCTACAACCATAATATAGCATGGCTCGATCACGTATATTTTTCTACCGTCATCAAAAAGCAGACGGTACTCAATTCGACTGTATGTTTTTTTTTCATAACTTTTTCTACGTATATATATATATATATATATATATATATATATATATATATATATATACATATATATATATATATATATCAAATTTATATGGGACCACATGTGATTCACCAGCTTTCAAATAAAAAAACATATTCGAAAGCGGTTCACGTTAGAAGTAGTTAGGTTAGAAGTAAGTATTAGTAAAGTTTATCGACAAGAAAGGGGTGAAGACACCCCCAAGGAAATTGCTAAAATAGAAGAGGCGGTAACTGGAAAATGTGTCGCATTTACACACGTTGGTACAGTGTTTGTCTCATAGATTTATTTTGTCTCCTGCCAGAATGCATCGAGTACCAGGAGAAGTTGGTATATCCCTGCGTGAAGGCCTCCTCCGGGGAGAACGCCCGCGTCAACCGTTGCACTCACATCGCCGAACAACTTATTGTCGACGGAGTCAACCCGGACCGAGCAGAGTTCCCTCACATGGTAACGTTCTGGATGCTTTATATGAGTTTGTAACCCCTACCAGTTTTATACAGCTTATCAATACTGTTATTGTTACAGCCAAATAAAGTCCACTGCTGAACATACACCTCCACCATAGATTGCCTCATACGGGGGATATTTGCCATAACTGTAATGTTACTGTTGATTTAAAAATTTCACTTCTTAGTGGGTCATGTGCTCCTGGTAGATTATCTTCTATACATCCATCCATTACAGCCTACTAAAGTCCACTTCCACATGGGCATTCCATCATAGATTACCTCATACGGGGGATATTTGCCATAGTTGTAATGTTACTGTTAATTTGAAAATTTCACCTCTCAGTGGGTCATGTACTTCTGGTAGATTATCTTCTATTCATCCATTCATTACAGCCTAAACTACTAAACATAGTGCCTCTACCATAGATTGCGAATAATAAAAAAAAATTGACGCCTGGCAGATGTGAAACATCGAAAAACGAAAAAAAGGATATTGTTACGGCCCGCAGCTGCCCCTGCAAAGATCGCCTTGGCTGGGGCCATAGCAGCCTGCTCGACGGGCAGACGCGGGTCGGGCCCAATGGCCATATGGGAAGAATTCCTATCATATTATACTATATGGGAGTGCTAGGAAAATATAGTACTTACCTGTTTCCGACTCTAATTTCGCCCCAAGGCTCGGTTAGGCCGTAAGTGGGTGTAAGGTGAATGGCAAGTAGTGTTTAGTGATGTGTAAGTGTCTGAGACCTGGACCAGCTTATGCGACCAGCAGCGGCCGAGTTCCAGGCTGCCCACAATGCTGCATCGCTCCAGCAGGCTCCACCGCTGGACCATTTCTTTCTTCATTGTCACTATTTCAGTCTATTAGCTTCATTGTACATTTAACTAACTTAAACTCACCTAATTCCACATTCATCGTAGAATCGAACACGTGATACCCGACACAGTACGGACAGTAGTTCAAAATTCGACATTCAATGTCCCGGATTCACTTATCACAAAATTATAAATAGGGAACTAACGCGATCTCTTAATGAGTCATACGGTTCAGCGTTAAACACAACTAAGCTCCGTCATTAGACACCAAAACACCACGCCACGAAAAGAATTCAAAATACGCCTCGTTGACACGTAAAACTAACAAACCAGCCAACACACAAAAAAGGGCACTTAACGCGACTGCACAATTATAATGATTTCCAGACAATCAATGTCAAATTGTCAAATGTCAATTTAACCTAAACGCCGTTCACTACCATCGCAAGACGGCGAAGCCGGCCTTGCTCCTTCTGACCGAGACGCAGGTTTCCTCTCCGGCTGATATTTCGTATCTTTCCTACCCGGTGTACAAATTGGAACACTCCTTTGTGCCTCGGGCAGGAGTTTGCATGTAGGACAGAGAGGACATCTGTTCTCGACGCCTCGGCAGTCTTGAAGGTTCGGATCTGTCCATCCTATGGCTACGCGTGTCTACGCGTACTACGTCGCTGTCTAGCGACGACCATCCGCGCGTCTACGGGTGCCTCTATAGGTCCCATAACGGTAATGCCGAAACAGACCGAATCATCGACCACGTCCAAATGGCTACAGACTCTTTGCTACAACAGGTCCCATCCGCAGAGATCGTAATCCTCGGCAATTTTAACGCCCACCACGCCGAATGGCTCGGTTCATGTTTAACCGATCATGCGGGGAGATCTGTTTATGACTTTGCTTTGGCATATGCTCTGCCATAACTGGTTACTTCGCTTACTTGGATTCCAGATGTGGAGGATCATACACCTTCCCGGTTGGACCTTCTGCTGACCTCTCATCCGGACGGATATCAGGTTTCCGACGATGCCCCTCTCTCCGGCTCTTCAGTCCATTGTCTGATCCGGAGTGTGGTGCCACTCACGCTCCCCTCGCGGTTGCGTTGCAGGTTGCCGCCGTGTTTGGCATTACAGGTCGGCGGATTGGGACGGAATGCGGTCTTTCTCTGCATCCTACCCATGGGGGCGGGTTTGCTTCTCGTCGGATGATCCCAGCGCTGTTGCTGACTCTGTCACTGATGTGGTGCTACAGGGAATGGAACTATATATTCCATCATCTGCGGTACCCATCGGAGGCAGATCTCAGCCTTGGTTTGGTCGCTCCTGTAAGACTGCATTACGCAGTAAGCAGGAGTGTTATCAAGCCTAGACTGCGGCTTCGGCGACTCGGGATGTAAACACCAGCACACTTAAAAAGAAGTATAACTTCGCCTCCTGGTCCTTCAAAAGAGTTATTGCCAAGGGAAAGTCAGAGCACATAGGCAGAATTAGCGAGAAACTAGTTCGCCTTCCTTCGGGAACCCGTGCATTCTGGTCTCTCGCCAAGGCTGTCCAAGGGAATTTCTGTAAGCCATCACTACCATCTCTGCACAGGGAGGACGACTCACTGGCCCAAGACGCAAAAGTCAAAGCCGACCTTTTTGCGTTCAACTCGACTCTTGATGACGGGGGGAAAACACCGCCGACCATCTCGTGGTGTGAGTGCTCCATGCCGGATGTGCTGTTCTCACAGCGCTCGGTTCGCAAAGCACTCCTCTCCCTGGACATCCAGAAGTCGAGTGGGCCTGACGGAATCCCCCCAAGGAGGACGTGTGCTCCGGAGTTGGCACTGGTCCTAACGCGTCTTTTCCGGTACTCCTACTCCCAAGGCGTAGTCCCGTATTCATGGAAAACAGCTTTTGTCCACCCGACCCCTAAAAAAGGCGACCGCTCAGACCCGTCCAACTATAGGCCTATCGCGATCACCTCTTTGTTCTCCAAAATAATGGAATCAATTATTAACTGCCAGCTCATGCGATACCTTGAGGATCACCAGCTGATTAGTGACCGGCAATACGGTTTTTGTTGGGGTCGATGAGCTGGTGATCTTCTGGTCTACCTGACCCATAAATGGGCAGAAGCAGTAGAGTCCAAGGGGGAGGCGTCGGCCGTTAGCTTGGACAATCCGAAGGCCTTCGATCGGGTTTGGCACAAAGCGCTTCTTTCGAAGCTCCCTTCCTATGGGCTTCCCGAGAAATTATGCGATTAGATCACCAGCTTCCTTGCAGATCGGAGCATCAAGGTCGTTGTAGACGATGCATGCTCCGACTACAAGCCTATTAACGCTGGTGTTCCACAAGGCTGTGTGCTATCACCAACGCTGTTTCTTCTGCATATCATTGATATGTTGCTAACTGGTAACATTCATTGCTATGCGGATGACAGCACTGGTGATGCTCTATACACCGGCCGTGCCAATATTTCTCGGGAAAACGTCGCCGAGTACCGGAACAAACTTGTGTCTGAAGTCGAGTCTTTGTTGAACAAAGTCTCGGATTGGGGGCGACTAAATCTAGTCCAGTTTAATCCTCAGAAGACACAAGTTTGCGCGTTTACCGCTAAAAAGAACCCCTTTGTCGTATCTCCTCAGTTTCAAGGCACTCCCCTTCTTGCCTCAGCCAGTATTGAAATCCTCGGAGTCGACATATCGAGTGACGTGCAGTTTCCTGGTCACTTGGAAGAGAAGGCCAAATTGGCCTCTAAAAAGCTTGGCGTGCTAAGCAGAGCGGGACAGTATTTCATGCCAGCACACCGCCTGCAACATTACAAGGCGCAGGTTCGGCCTCACATGGAATACTGTTCCCATCTCTGGGCAGGGGCTCCCCAGTGCCAGCTCCTTCCACTTGACCGCATCCAGCGCAGAGCGGCTCGAATCGTCGCCGACCGAGTCCTTTCCGATCGGCTCGATTCATTGACACTGCGAAGAGATGTTGCATCCCTTTGCATTTTCTTTCGCATCTACCACGGTAATTCTCTGAGGAATTGTTCGGATTTATCCCAGCCGCCAAATTTCACGAACGCACATCGTGGCAAAACTCCCGATACCATCCACACCATCTGGATGATTGGCGGTCCACCACTGTGCAATTTAGAAGATGTTTTCTTCCTCGCACGAATTCTTTGTGGAATCGATTACCATCAGCTATTTTTCCGGACAGATACTACTTAGGGACCTTCAAGATTAGAGCGTACTCCTTATTAAAAGGCCGGCAACGCATCTGCGATTCCCTCCCTGGTGTTGCAGCTGTTAATGGGCGGCGGTAGTCACTTACCATCAGGTGAGCCGCATGTTTATTTGCCCCCTCTCCTATAAAATAAAACAACTGGCAGACGCTCTCGAACAAGGAATGCGCGGTTCGAATCCTAGACCGTATATCTACTCGGCGCGCGCGTGCGTAATTCCGCATCACCCGAACGAGTTAAATATTGCAAAATTCACATATCCACGGAGCAAAGTAACACGCACTAAATCTAACCATCTGGACCCTACCGGTCGCGTGAACTTCGGCCGCGATCACCTAGGTACGCGGATTCACCGCATCGCGGCCAGCAAGCTAACTGACTTCGCCCACGAGCGTCACACGCTGGGAAGCTGCCTACCGCTCCCCCTCCCCTCGATGCGCGTGAAACCTGGTGCCATCGTGCGACTCACGAAGTCGAACGTGATTGGCTATTACCTTTTTTGGGCCTAAACAGATATTTTACTCTTTTTTTATTTATTTTTTACTTTTATGAATATCTGTGGTTTGGTTTATTTACTTTTAATCTAATAGTAGTGTAGTTGTACCACTTCTAGACCACCTGAGTCAGACGTGATTCAACGACGTTCGTCGACACCCGATCCTAAAAAAAAAAAAAAAAAAAAAAAAAAAAAAAAAAAAAAAAAAAAAAAAAAAAAAAGGTTTTGGCATGCTCTGATCACGAAGTCCATTTTTGTGTAGAATGCACGGTTCCGGAGATGTGTAGATCAGTAAGGGCCTCCACCGTCATTAGCGTCCCATTGTTCCTATTTCTATTGTTCTATTGTTCATTAATCACCTTCATTGCAGCAAATATCGTTGTACAATGTGTTCCTTGTAAATATACTCGTAAAACTATGTATTGAACATCCTTGAAACTTATATAACAAATACATTAAGCAATATTC